GTTGAAGGAAATCTCGGCCCAATCATTATCTGACTACTAATCTAATGAAACAGTCACTTCAATGACCACACATGACAAAGAATACTACTTTATAGAATTAGATCAGGAAAGGCACTGAAGAAATAGCCACACAAAAAAGCAGCAACAACAAAGCCTGGGAAAGTGGGAGGAGAATCTAATTCCAGAGATCCCACATTATGTTATTTAAAATGTCTAGTTTTCAACAAGAAGGTATGAGACATTGCCAAAAAGAAAGTATGGCTTATACACAGAGGGAAACACCCATGGAGTCAATAGAAGCCATCCCTGAGGAAACACAAATGTTTGACTTAGTAGACAAAGATTTTTAAATCAGCTATTTTAAGTATGTTTAAATAACTGAAGGAAACTGTGTCCAAAGAACTGAGGAAAGTATGAGAACAATGTCTCATCAACTAGAGACTTGAAGAGTCTATTATAAAGAGATCTACATAGAAATTCTGGAGTTCAAAATTATAATAACAAATGAAAAATTCATTAAGGGAGACTCAACTGTAGATTTGAGAAGATGGAAGAAAGAATCAGCAAATTTGAAGACAGGTCAATTGAGATTGTCCAGTCTGAAGAACACAAAGGAAAAAAGAATGAAGAAAAATGAACAGAGCCTCAGAGACCTGTGGGACACAATCAGGTGTACCAATATATATATAATAGGAGTTCCAGAAGAAGACTAAATAGAGAATGGGGGAAGATAAAAAGGTTTCAGTAAGTTATGACCAAAAATTTCCCATAGTTGATGGAAAACATGAGTCTACATAACCAGGAAGTCCAATGAACTCCACGTAGGATAAGCTCAAAGAGATCCATGCTTGATACATCATACTCAAACCACTGAAAACCGAAGACAGAATATTTAAAGCAGCAAGAAAGAAGTGACTTATGTATAAGGGATCATCAATAAGAGTAACAGCTATTTTTCATGAGAAACCATGGAGGTCATATAGGTGGTCAAATGACATGTTTAAATCACTGAAAGAAAAAGACAGCTAAGAATTTTCTCTTCATCAAAATGTCCTTCAAAAATGAATAAGCAATATGTGGTATGTTTATACAATTGAATGTTATTCATCAATAAAAAGGAATGAAGTACAGATCTTTGCTTCAGTGTGGATGAACCTTTATAATATGCTAATTGAAGAAGCCAGATACAAAAAGCCACCTATTATATGATTGCACTTATATGAAATATCTGAACTAGACAAATCTATATAGATAGAAAGTAGATTAGTGGTTTCTTGGGGGACCAGTGAATGGGGGCAATGGGTTTGATTTGTTGCTTTTGGAGTGATGAGAATGTTAAGGAATTCGTGGTGATGGTTGTACAACTCTGAATGCCTTAAAACTTCAGAATTGTATACTTTAAGGGAGTAAACTTTATGGTATGTGAATCATATCTTAAAAGAAACTTATAATAAAAATCAAAGCAACACTGCTGAAAACTGTTATAAATCTGTAAAGGTAAATGAAGGAACCATCTCACAATTCAAGGAAAAAATATCAAGAAATAGAGATTGTTAAGTGAAGAGTTATGACAAGATCCAGGAGTTCTAGTATTTGATTGATAGGAGACCTAGAAACAGAGAAAGAGTAGGAAAGAGGAGGGAGTAGCAGCAGGCCAGAAGCAGCAGAAGAATTCTTTCCAGAGGGAAGAATGGGCTTAAGATTCAAGAGTGTTCCAACTGCCCGGCATCTCCTTGTCAGACTAATAAATTCCTAGGAGAAAGAAAATCTTTTTCTAGATAAGTAACAAACAAAAATCAAATATACTATTAAGGACAACTAGAAAAAATGAAAAAATATGAAATGTCTGGTCCATGCGACTAGGGAACTGATAGGACAGTAAAGAATCTGAATAAGGCCTACTTATTCCCTTGAGGGCTTACAGTGGTTCCCAAGAGGAAGGCCAAGAGGTCCACAGGCTGCAGAGTGCTTTAGGCCACCTCTCAGTGCAGAAGTGAAGGGGATTGTTTTCTAGGGTCTGTTAAGGGAAAGGATACTTGATGAAACCCTTCTCACTTTGATCAAGAATCCAAAAGGCTAAGCCTCTAGAGTAAGGGGAACAAGAAGCAGGTGTTGATAGAGACTACAGGCCCATAAAGTTTCTGAAAGTATATTAGAGTGATAGTCCTCCTTAGAATCAGGCAGAAGCAGTTACAAATCTTGTCTGGAGAAGGGCAGCAGCATCATAGGCCTCAAATAATTTGTACAAGCAATTTTTCTTAAAATATAGTGTTCAGCATAAAATCGTGAATTCTCAGAAACATGAAGAGACAAAGAAATAAGAACAGAAGCAATAAACAATAGAAACAGACCTAGAGGGGCTGTATGTATTAGAGTTAAGAGACAGACACTAAAATAATTGTTATTGACCATATGACTTGGTTAATATGGGCTGCTATAGCTGAATATTGTAGACTGGGTGGCTTAAAAAATAGAAATGTATTGCTCACAGTTCTGGAGCCTGAGAAGTACGAGATTAAGATGCCAGGATATCTGTTGTCTGATGATGGCCAGCTTCTGGTTTGCAGATGGATGTAGTCTTGCTGTATTCTTACATGGCAGAGAGCAGAGCAGAGAGAGCAAGCTCTTGTGTCTCTTCTTTTAAAGGCACTAATCGCATTCTTGAAGACTCTACCCTCAAGACCTAATCACCTCTGAAAGTCCCCACCTCTAACACCATCACATTGGGATATAAGATTTTAACACATAAATTTTGGGGTTTGTGTCAGAGGAGAGACCTACTTAAAGAAACTTTAGGGGGACACGAACAGTCAGTCCGTAACACTATGGTAAAATAGAATAAGGACATTATTGAACATTTTCAGAGAGCTAGAAACCATAAAAAGAACCAAATAGATATTCTAGAATTAAAAGAAAATTTTCAAGAAGGAAATTTCCAAAATGAAACCAGAGCAATGAAAATAATGGGAAAAAATATCAGAGGAGAGTAAAAACAGCATAGTGAGAGGTCTAATATTACATTTATTTTGTATAATATTACATTTATTTTGTATCTTTAAGAAGGAACACAGGGAAGGGTCAGAAGCAATATTTATAGTTGAGCATTTCTCCCAAACTAATACAACAATTCACAGAATAAATAAAAAGAAAATGTCCTAGGCACATCATAAAACTGCAAGCCACACCAGTGGGAAAATTATAGAAGCTATGAGAAAATAAATGCTCCAAGTAGCAACAACTAGACTGACAGCTGACTTCGTAACAGAAAATACAGGGCCTAGAGACAATATATTTAGAGGGCTTAGAGAAAATGACTACTTAGAGAAAATTTCCTTCAAGAATTAAGGTGGAATAAAGACATTTTTAAACCTTGAAAGCTGCAAGAATGTCAACATCAGATTGACAGTATAAATAGTGCTAATAGAAGTTCCTCAGTAGAAGGCTGATGATTCCAGATGGATGTTCACCAATAAAGAAGGGATTGAAAATTTAAAGACATGAGATCTGGGGTAAACATCTGGGTTATAGCTACATAAACAGCAACAATAGAAAAACATGCACACACAAATGTGTATGCTAACAAAAGAGAGCTGGTGTGGCAGTATTAAAGTCAGAAAAAGTATAATTAGAACCCAAAAGAGTAGATCAAACTGTGTATAGTGGTTAATTAGATCACCACAGGTCCTTTCAAAGGGTGGAAATAGTAACTTACATGAAATGAATACGACAAAGACATCTTCCCAACTAAACTCTCTTCAAAACATTCCAAGGTATTGCTCTCCCCTTCTCTTCCAAATTCCTGTCTCTTCCTTCCCTCTTGGTATTTTTCTAATTGTCTTTTAATCTTTCCTTTTTTCTCTCTGTTCTTTCTTTCATTTTTATTAGTGTTCTCCTTCATCTCATCACTCCACTCCCCAAATTTCCTGTGCGTTTGTCTCACCTGTTCTGGACACAATAATATATTTTTAAATCGGAGTTAACACAATTTTAAATTTTTATCTTAAAATTGCAATAAAATAAATGTACGTAAAATTTATTACTATAACTATTTTTAAGAATACTGTTTGGTGGCATTTTTAAGTATACTGTTTGGTGGCATTAAGTATAGTTGTGTGTAGCTAATGTTGGGGATACATTCTTTCAAATATGTCGTTAGGCGATTTCGTCCTTGTGTGAACATGACAGAGTGTACTAACAGGATCCCAGATGGTACAGCTTACTAGGCACCTAGACTACAATATGTAGTATAGCCTGTTGCGCCTAGGCTACCAACCTGGACAGCATGTTACTGTACTAAATATTATAGGCAATTGTAACACAATGGTAAGTGTGTATCTAAACATAGAAAGGTAATGTGTTGTGTTGGGATGTTAGGATGGCTATGACATCACTAGGCGGCAGGAATTTTTCACCTCCATTATAATCTGTAAGACTACTGTCATATATGTGGTCTATCATTGATTGTAAGTGAACAATGGCTTCTTCTAAAAAAAAAAAAGAGCTTTGTTTACTTTGCCATAGAATTTTAATTTTCTTCCAACATCTATCCATCCACTTGCACCTGGGGCACCATATGCTCAGAGTCAGCCACAGCAGTCACAGGATGCAAGCACGGGTAGCTCTGTCTTAGATTTCATAGACTCTGGCTCCTACGGTTAGTTGCTTAGAGTTCGAATAGTTACTGAGGTCAGACTTGAAGGATTGGACCTATATGAGATTTTTGGCTTTGTGTTCCACTCCATGGACGTGGGAAGCCCCTGTCAGCACAGCCATTCACTGCAGTTATGGCAGTGCTGTCTCAGAGGGTGGCACGGAGAGGGCATGAAAAGGGATTGTTTCAGATTTAAAAAAATCATCTCCCTGTGACAACTGATGATGTGATCGCATTATTTCTTTGAATGTCATTTACTTTTTTTGCTTTCTTTGAGTGTGTTTGGAACAGAGAACTAATGAGAATCTAGTTTTAAAGGATTTGTTTCTTTCCCATCTTGATTCTGTAGCTTGCAGTGAGCTGCATACTCCATCGCTAGATCGAAAGCCAAATAGTTTTGTTGCGGTGAGTGTCACCACCCCTCCTCAGGCATTCTGGACGAAGCATGCACAGACAGAAATCATTGAGGTGGGTGCTACTGGTCCCTCTTTGAGGGGCTGTGGGACATGCTCAAGTGGTGTCTCTCATGATGTTCAGTTACGTGTGCAGTTGTAGTTGAAGCCATATTTACGTGAGTTGTTGCTATTTTCCCATGGGTTTTCAGTACATTGATATTTTTTATCACATTTACTCATCTGGGTAGCATTTATATTTGCCATATCCTTTATAGTTATTGATTAACTATTGACAGCTTGTTTTTGAACAATGATCCTGTAAGCCTCATTGCCTTGTAAGAGGTAAGACCTAATTCCTTCTCTTTTTTTTTTTTTTGAGACAGAGTCTTGCTCTATCGCCACGATCCCGGCTCACTGCCACTTCTGTTTTCCAGTTTCAAGCAATTCTCCTGCCTCAGCCTCCCAAGTAGCTGGGACTACAGGCATGCACCACCATGCCTGGCTAATTTTTTTGTACTTTTTAGTAGAGACGGGGTTTCACCATGTTGGCAAGGATGGTCTCCATCCCTTGACTTCGTGATCCACCTGCCTCGGCCCCCCAAAGTGCTGGGATTACAGGCGTGAGCCACTGCGCCCAGCCAAGACCTAATTCCTTCTTGTCACCTCCAATTAGCTGCTGCTTTGGGAGATTTGTGCTCATTAATCAAAGCTTAGAAGAGTATTAACTATCAACCACCTTCTTTTCCAGACATACCCCTATTTTTGTTGGTTTTTGTTTTTACAGGAGGGAATTTTATAAAATCCTTTTAGATCATCGAGCACATTACATAAGTTATAACATTAAGTGTAGGAGTTACTGGCATGAGATTCTGCAGAGTTTTATTTGTAAAGTGAAGAATTATCAAACTTAAACTGCATTTCTTCTTTTTCACCAGTTATGCATCTTGGAAACTCGCCCACCCTTTCAGTCTCTTAGAAACTCATTTCCAAGTTCATGTCAACAATTCTGCTTTCTAAGTATTTGTTGAGTGCTGTCTACACATCTAGCATAGTGTCAGGCATTGTGGATGTTACAGAGCCCATCAGGGCACAGTCCCTGCCCTGAGGAATTGACCAGCTGGTGAATGGGAAGGCAGAAATGAATATGGCTGCCCCTATGCACAGCAGCGTATGGGAAGTGTTAGAGTAGTAGAAAGGTGAGGAGAGCACCAAGAGGCTGGGATCCTATCTGGCTCTGGAGTTCAGAGCAGGCTTCCTTGAGTGGGGCTTCATGGAATTCTGCTTCAGTATGTCTGGGGTGGGGCTCAAGACTGCATTTCTTGCAAGCTTCCAAATGATGCTCAGGTAGCCAGTGTGGGGACCACACATGAAGAGCATGCCAAAATTCTGTTGTGGTTATGCAAATGTGTGACCATAGGGAAGGCATCATACAGACTGGGGTCTAACCATATCCTGGTTGGTGTATGAAAGGCACAAGTAGGAGAGCAAGGAAGAAAGACTTGAAGGCCAGGCCATGGAGTTTATCAGCAGATGGTAGTGAGCCAGTGTAGGCTTCTGTGCAGGGGAGTCACCTGACCAGATGTTCTAACTTGTACAGGACAGTCATTTGTGGGACTGGGAGTGGGAAGGGGTGGGGATGGAAAGAAAGGACACTTAATGTTATGACAGAGACTCTGGAGGTGGACCTTGCAAGAAGAGTTCGTGATCACTGGGATGGTTGAGAACAACAGAGAAGAAGGCATGGGCTTTTAGCCTGCTTGGAAAGTGAACACCTGGGCTTTTAGCCTGCTTGGAAAGTGAACACCTGGGCTTTTAGCCTGCTTGGAAAGTGAACACCTGGGCTTTTAGCCTGCTTGGAAAGTGAACACCTGGGCTTTTAGCCTGCTTGGAAAGTGAACACCTGGGCTTTTAGCCTGCTTGGAAAGTGAACACCTGGGCTTTTAGCCTGCTTGGAAAGTGAACACCTGGGCTTTTAGCCTGCTTGGAAAGTGAACACCTGGGCTTTTAGCCTGCTTGGAAAAAGTCAGAGATGGCCTTAGCCAAGGGTGGGTAGGGGGAGAAGTGAGTTGGGTGAGGCCCCAGCAGTCCACCTAGGTAGAACTGTCCAGTCAGCTTGACCGTCTGGATCTGGATATGCAGAGAGAGAATGGAGCCAGAGGCCCAAGCAATGGTGGCGGTGATAGTTATCTGGTACCTGAGAGAGAGAGAGAGAGTATGGTATTATGGGGCTCTGGAGGACACAGCTGAGCTGCCAGGAAATAGTCACCTATAATCTAAAAAATAGCAGCTGATTCTAAAAAAATGATAGCTTTTTAAAAGTCAGACTTTAATTATTCCAAACATGGGCTTCTAGAAATACATAATAAACCATTTTAGCCATTCATTTTCTCTTTCATCTGCATGTTTCTACCTCTTAAAGGAATAACCCAAAGTAGTAGGTCTAAATACATATTACACTTTAAGTTAAAAAACTAAAAATGCATATGGACATCCAACTTGTTTCAGTTTTTTTAAATTCCTTCTATTGAGTGTGAAACCTGTGAAATGAGCCCTCAGGCACAGCTTGTGCAGTGGGTTGATTTATTGTATGTGGATCTGTAATGGTCTGTGTCAGACTTCTTTTTTCTCTTTTAAAAAGCAGGTTTTTTTTTTTTTTTGCGGGGGGTTATGTATTTATTTAAGCTGCCTTTAGCATTTGTGTTGACTCAAGTCAGTGAGAATGTTAGTTTCTCATTCAGAAAATGTTGGTGTATTTCAAAAGCAATTGTATTTAAAAAAATTCAACCCTGTGTTCTGTTTATTTCCTTTTCTGTTCTAGGGAACCAACAATCCTATATTTCTAAGCAGCATTGCCTTCTTTCAAGACTCTCTTATCAATCAGATGACACAAGTCAAACTCTCCGTATATGATGTCAAAGATAGATCTCAGGGAACAGTTAAGTAATGTTATAGTTCGTGGGATTTTCTTCCCTTTGAAAAAATTATGTAATCACTTGAGTGAGAGGTGAACACAGATTGACTTCACTACCGGCTCACAAGTTAACTCATGTCTAAATGCATTTGATTTTTGGAAATTTCTTTCTAAGCTTTTCCATTGGGCTTCTGACTTGAGGGTGAGAGGTGCTGTGGGAAGCAGTCAGCTAGACTCTCGGGGCCAATGGTAATTGCATCAGAAGCAAAGCAGGTGCACCAATGCTGTCTCTTAACTTTTCTTCCTCAGATGTATTTACTGGGCTCTGGAACGTTCATTGTCAAAGATTTGCTCCAGGACAGGCATCATAGATTGCATTTAACACTAAGGTTGGTATTTAATTTTATTCCCTCAAAAGGATCTAGAATGATGAGGTCCATGGACAGTTGGGGAAAGGACCTACTTCCTATACTGAGAGAGCACCTTTCATAATACTAAGTGTGTTTGTACATTATTTAGCCCCTCCTCAGTGGAATATAATCTCCCAGACAGCAGGGAATTTTGTCTGATTTGCTTCACTGCTATTTCCCAGACACCTAGATTAGTGCCTGGGGCTCAATAAATATTTGTGGAAGGAATGAGTGAATGAAAGAGAAACCCCTACTATATCCCTAGATGGAAAGATGAAAGATAGCAGGATGTCAATCCTTCTAAATCATCTTAGGGAAACGTCCCACCAAAGCTCAGACATGGTGTTCTTTTTTCAGAATAATGTAAAAATTGGAAAACTATGATCTGGGAAAATAATCCAAAATAGCAAGGAAAATTTGACAAACAATTAAGTTCCTGCAATATTGAGACATTCTGAAGCTGCTGTAAGTAAAGACAGTGTTGCAGACGTTGGCTGTCTCATCAGTGGGCAGGTTAAGAGCCCTACAGCAGCCCTTAGTTTGTATAGAGAACTTGGTGTAGGAAAAAGGAAAAATCTTAGGTAAAATGAGAGGGATCATGTGAGGGAAAGGGCTTTAAGGAAAATATTTGGTTATGTAATGTGTCAGAGTTAACTTTAGTTGGGTTAGAGTTAAATGTACAAAATGGACATCATTCTTTTTAAAGGAGCTAACGGAGACTGCTGATTGAACAGATAGCACAGGGAAGGACTTTATAGGCACAAAGACAGGGCTAGGAAGTCACAAAGGAAATGGTCAGTAGATGGGACCACACAAAAATTTAGAACCTGGTTAAGTGAGACCTCATAAATAAAACCTGAAGTTCCAGGGTGTCCTCAGGCTCCTTGGATGAATCAGATGAGCCCAGGCCGCCATCAGCCACCCTTTGGGACATCAGGGTGAAGCTGACTGAGGCTGAGGTGTCATATCAGGATTCAAGGGCTTCAGGAAGCCCTGGCTGGTTTCTATTTCTTGGAGTCCAGGCCTAGGCCTTGGGCTAATATAAGCCTGAGGGTGGGGTAGGAAGGAACTGAAGGGGCCCAGTGCCAGAACAAGGTGTTCCCTAGTCCTCATGTGTCCCTCTTACCCTCTGGGCAGGGGTGAGCTTAGGAACTGGCAGCAGCTTGGGAACAGCATTGGTTCCTCCTCAGGGAGACCCCTTCAACTTCACCAGCAAGTCCACACTTCATGGTACATTGTCCATTCAGACACAGCCCTCCACTGTGTCCCATGGTTTCCTCATCTGTCTCTCCTGGGAGGAGCCCTGTGCACACAGCAACCAGTCAGCTACCTTGGCCCTGCTGCCCCCAGGACCCTGATGACTCAGGATGGCTAGGGCTTTGCATTTCAGCAGAAAGGAAACACAGTTGCAGTACCACTCATGAAAGCATGTTGTGCATCACAGGTCTGCAGAGAGTGACCGTGTGGGTAACATCACTGTGATTGGCTGGCAGATGGAGGAGAAGTCAGACCAACGGCCCCCTGTGACCCGGTCTGTGGACACTGTCAATGGGAGGGTGAGTTTCACCACTTTCCTCCTCTCCCTTAGAAAGAGTAAGGGAATTCATCAGTTAAAATGTGGCCATCGTGGACTTAGCCTCTGTGCTCAGCAAAGGGCAGGGCCTGTTGCTTGATGCTGCTCCCCATGGACACTCCGGTTCTCCCCAGGCACACCTTGAAGCAGGAAAAAGGGCTTCTGCCTGTAAGGCCCTGCTGCCTGCCTTGGAGCCTGCCTCTGTTCTGGGTGCCACACTGCCCACTTCTAGGGGGCAGGAAGGAGCAGGAAAGAGCTCTGCTGGAAGAACTGCAGTCAGGGGGCAAGTTGGGGGGCGGGGTGTGGAGGGCTAGCAAAGAGGCATTTAGGACCCAGTCATCTGTCCTGTTTTGTTAATACCTTCCTCTCCCAGACACATGCATGCCCTGCAGTTGCCTGGTACACACTCCCACCCTTTCTCATCCTCCCCTCTTCCCCAGTCCTCCTCCCCATCTCTAGCTACACCCTTCTGCACTCCCTCTCATGCACAGTCTCTCACAAAGACACTCAAAGAAAAATTCTAATTTCAGAGCCCCAACACTGGTAACTAGTCATTGTTGTACAATATGGAGATGTCTCATTTTACCCAAAATAACCCCAGAATGTTAGTTCTGGAAATATCCCTTGGCATCATCTGTTCTCTTCCTTTCATTTTGTACATCAGAACACTGAAACACAAGGTGAAGTGACTGAGAAACCATGCATGTCTAGAGAATTGTGTGTGCATGAAGTGATTCAACACCCTGGGAGGTGAATTATTCTGTGGCTTGGGCAGCATATTTATTATAGAATTAATGGTGGATATTCATCTTAAGAGTTCTGTTATGATGTATTTAGGCCACTCTTTCTGCCAAATCCTCTGGAGTCATCTGAGTCTCATGGTTTTCTTGTGCTTTTCCTTACACATTATCAGATGGTTCTTCCCGTTGATGAGAGCTTGACAGAGGCATTAGGAATCCGATCCAAATATGCTTCATTGCGAAAGGACACTTTGCTGAAATCGGGTAAACAGTTTCCTCCTTTTGTACTCTTGTTTCTCTTGTGAGTGTCCACTTAGGCCCGCAGTCCCCTTTGCTCCGCACCTGCTGCAATTGTCCCGGCCATGCACCCTGATTGTCACCTCTCTCTGCTGCTTGTCATTTTATTCTTTTTGCAGCATGTAAAGAGTTAGTACAAAAAAAATGATAATTTTCCTTGAAAGAGGATTAAAAAATAAAAAAGAGTAACATTCCAAGGAAGTGGGGGCTCCTGCTTTATCTCACTCTTTTCTGTTTCACATGGGGTTGGTGAATGACAACCTCCCTGCCCCCAGCTGCTTGCACTTTAGAGTTAGTTACATGTTCTGGGAGAGGAAGATTGTATGTTGCTGGGAAGAAATATTTAGGCCTAGCCACTTGGTGGGTTTTTGGTATAAGTGTTTTAATTCCCATGAGACAAACAGTGAGAGAACTTGAGGTGTCAGCATCCCTGAGGGCCAGGGGAGGAAAACCCATGAGGCAGGTCTGCAGCTGGTTCACATGCAGCCCGTCTCACCTGTCATTCCACTTCAGTGTTTGGAGGTGCCATCTGCCGCATGTACCGGTTTCCAACCACCGATGGTAACCACTTGCGGATCTTGGAGCAGATGGCAGAGAGCGTGCTCTCCCTGCACGTGCCCCGGCAGTTCGTGAAGCTCCTACTAGAGGAAGATGCAGCCAGGTGAGGCCACATGGAAGGACTGACTGTTCATCATACCCATGTCATATGCCCCTTCCTTTCTGAGATATAGTGGGCGGAGCACTGGCATCAGATTGACTGGGCTACAAACACAGCCTCTTCCCCTACAGCTCTGTGGCCTTGGCTTGCCTAAGCCTCAGTTTGCTCATTGGTGTCATGGATTGCTGTGGAAGGATTTCATAAGAGAGAGTACTTGATCCCAGATGTGTGTCCTGCACTCAAAACTTCCTCCCTTCTCTTTCTGGTTTTTTTTTTTTGAGACAGAGTCTTGCTCTGTCACTCAAGCTAGAGTGCAGTGGCATGATCTCAGGTCACTACAACCTGTGTCTCCTGGGTTAAAGTAATCTCCTGCCTCAGCCTCAGAAGTAGCTGGGATTACAGGTGTGTACCACCATGCCCAGCTAATTTTTGTATTTTTAGTACAGGTGGGGTTTCACCATGTTGGTCAGGTTAGTCTTGAACTTCTGACCTCAGCCTTCCAAAGTGCTAGGATTACAGTGAGCCACCACGCCCAGCCTTCCTTCTCTTATTTTCTTTCCCCTCTTACTAGTCCTTCCGAAAGTTAGAAATAACTAATAACTCTTTGATCCTAGCTGCCCAGATCAGTTGGCATCATCTGTTAGGTTAGGGCCATAGAGATAAGGGCTCCAGAAGACTGAGTATGGCCTGTCAGCGCTCTGTGGTCATAAGGGTCTTAACCCCTCTGTATCTCTCAACCCAGGGCATATCTTGTCAGTCCTAAGGTGAGGAGAGGCCCAACAGGTGGTCTGGGCCCTGCAACTTATGTCTCCTGTTTGTCTCTGTTTTAGTTTTGTGCTGCTATAACAGAATGCCAGAGACTGAGTAACTTATAATGATCAAAAATGTGTTTGTTCTGGAGACTGGGAATCCAAAAACATGGTGCTGGCATCTTGTGAGGGCCTTCATGCTGCATCATCCTGTGATGGAAGGCATCACGCAGCAAGAGAGCTCTTGAAAGAAGGCCAAACTAACTTTTATAACAAACCCATTCTTGCAACAACCAACCCATTCCTGTGATAATGACATCAATCCTTTCATGAGGGCTCTGCCCTCATGACCTCATAGTCTCTTAAAGGTCCCACTTCTCAAAACTGTGGCATTCAGGATTAAATTTCCAACGTAGGAACTTTGGGGGTAGTCTCAGATTGTCATTTCTCCTTGTCCTAAAACGATGTTAATTATAAACACAATATAACAGAAGCATGAAAGAAAGCAAGGCAGCCAGAATCCTGCTGTTTTCAAAGAATTATTTTTTTAAATATTTTATCTGGGAAAAAAAAAATCAAACTTAAAGGTCAAGAATAATGCAGTGAGCACCTAGATACTTTTCACATAAAATCACCAATTGTTAATATTTTGCCAATTTCTTTCTCTATCTATGCACATATTTTTGATAGTTAATTTAAAAAATTTTCTTTCAGCTTTGCCCATATTTGTCTATATTTACATAGCGACAATCTACTTTTCCATGTATTTTCAGTTTTCATGTTTCAATTTCCCATTACATGGCATGTTATAATTTTAAAGGGTTTATTCATTTTTGTTTGTTTGTTTGTTTGAGATTGTATTGCTCTGTCACTGAGGCTGGAGTGCAGTGGCACCATCATAGCTCACTGGAGTTGGAGACTCCTGGGCTCAAGCCATCCTCTTACCTCAGCCTCCTGAGCAGATAGAACTACAAGCACACACCACTATGCCCAGCTAATTTTTTCATTTGTTATAGAGTTGAGGTCTTGGTATGTTGCCTAGGCTGGTCCCCAACTCCTGGCCTCAAGCGATCCTCCCACCTTAGCCTCCCAAAAAGCTGGGATTCTAGGCATGAACCACTGTGCCTGGCCAAGAGTTGATTTATTTAACAAGTGCTTTAGTTCATGGTTTTTTTTTTTTTTTTTTTTTTTTAAAGCAACAACCACATGTCAGGCACTGTTTTCGGTGTGGGAGGCTTCTTGGTGAGCTTTACGTGGGGGTTGGTCAGAAACAGAACTGGGAACCTCACACAGGAACTCCAGATGCTTCAGCGTGTGCTGGAAGTGAAAAGGGAGCTGTGAGAAGAAAGAGCGTGATCAGGGCTGACCTCTGTGAGATGAGGACATTAAGCTAACACCTGGAGCATAGAAAGCAGCCACATGAACGCAGGGCAGATACATTCTAGAGAGTAACTAGCAGCAGCCTGGCACATAATGCTGCTGTTCTCAGAGTGGCCTCAGGCCATGGGGTTGGATGACCACATAGCCCTACCTGCTCTGGGTGTCCTTTGCTGTTTTAATAATAATAAAATGGTACAGCTTTTTAAAACAATTTAGACAACTTACATTTCCTAAGAACTTTTCTAAAATTTATCTTTTCTTCTTTCTCAGAGGAAAACATGAGCGCAGTTTTAAAAAAACAAATAGCGCTGAAAGGGTTTTAACTAAAAACATAACTCTTGGGGCTTTACTTTCTGATCCACTTCCCAGAAACAATCACTTTTTGAGAGTTTTAGTGTTTACTGATATATTTCTAAATATATGTGTAAAAGGTTCTCTTCATTAATCAATTTCAGGGATTAGCTACCAATTTTCTATGCTGAGGGTTTGGCCTTTTATACCTTCCCGGTCCCCATTTTCCTAATTTGGTTATCCTTTTTGTTTTTAAAATCCATCTTGTGATTTCACTGTTATGATTGTGTAGCTATGCTTCATTGCTGAGCTAAGGAATTTATATTTCAGTTCTTATACAGCTTTTTTTTTTTTTTGGAGATAACAATTCCTCTTTTTCTTCTCTTCTCCCTCACCTTACCTCTTCCCCCTTCTGTTACCTTGTGCCTCTGTCACACACACACACATAAAGACAAGGTCAGGCCTGATTTCATCCACAGTGACACAGCGGGCCACTTTTAAGTTCAGACAGCTCCTCTCTTACATAGACACGGAAGGCAGAATAGCCAGAGGTGCCAGCTCACATAGTCCTTGTCCCATACCAAAAAAAGGAGAGCAGTGAGACAGAAGGGCTTGTGATTGCAGCACGATTTGTGGGACTCTGCTGCTGAGGTGCCACCTCTAGGCTACAGCTGAGTGGTTTTAGATTCTGTAGCTCCCTTCTCAGGAGGAGGGCAGACGGCCCAAACCCCAGGAGAACCTGGGAGGCCATGAGAAATGCTGTCCTGATAGCCTCCTAGGGGAAGTGGCCCAGGCCGGTTACTCTCAAGCCTGCAGTCCTCTTTGTTCTGGGAGGATCACACATTGTTTAGCCCAGACTCAGGTGGGCTGTGGTTTGAGCCTGTGCTTGAGGTCACCTGCAGCTCTCCAGAGTGCCAGGGCAAATCTTCTCCCCAGCAGCCTGTCACCTTGTCCCCACCTGCACATAAGTCTCCCTTGAACATTCGACTGAGTTCCTGTGAAAAGCTTCTCTAGACACACTTCCACGTGGTCAGTGGTCTGCCTTTCATGTAGCTGTCTGTCCTTCCCTCCCACCCACTTTGTCTTAAGATGGCCAGTGTAACCATTGTCCTGGCCTACCCTGGGCATCTGTGATACTTCCCATGCAAATGCTGTTGTCCTGGGTAGGCCTCTTGGGGCTCTCCAGGGAAACCAGTTAGCCCACAGCCTGATGTGTGTCTGTCTTGCTTGCAGAGTGTGTGAGCTGGAGGAGCTGGGGGAACTGTCCCCTTGCTGGGAGAGCCTCCGGCGCCAAATTGTTACCCAGTACCAGACCATCATCCTCACGTACCAGGAGAACCTGACTGACCTCCATCAGTACAAAGGTGGGTGCATCCCCATCCCTTCACCACACGCACTCACTTACTCACTCTGCTTTCCCAGCCAGAGATCTGGAACACAGGGTCACTTACACATTCCCACTGACAGACACTTTAATGGATTTTTAAAAATAACTTCTTGTAGGTGTGAATTCTTTCAAATATGGGTTTTTCTGATCTTAATTAAAAAGACAAATCTGTGAATTGCAGTGAAGAGTCCTCCTATGGTGTCATCTACCAAAACAGCCACTGTAGAATGAAATCTAGGGGAGGTGAAATCACGGGCTATTGCTGGTTCATGTTATTTCTTCATCTTGAACTAATGTCAGTACAGTGACCAAAAGGATGTAGGCCCTCACCTTGAAACAAAGCAGTTTTTTAGATTTCCCAGCTTAAAGAGTAAATGATAACTTTTATTAAACATATAAATTGTCAAGGGGGAACTCTGTATTTTAAGGCTCAAAAAACAGTGGAATGTGAATGAACACCTCACCATTTCTTCTTGAAAGATGCCATTTGATTTTCAAAATGCTCTCAGGGCAGATTCAGAAATCTGTTCTTAACTTGTTCCTTTTTTATTCCAAGTGGAATGAATTTTTTGGTTTTTCATTACTCTGTATATTGCTTTAGCATTTTGAATTATTCTCGATTTTTTGGATTCTTCCCTTTGATTCCTCTACATAATGGAATTTCAGGGTTTAAGGACAACCATAAGCCCTTAATGTGGTTTTGACACAGAACATATGAACCTGTCTACGAACTTGGAAGAGAAGAAGCCAAATGCAGGACTGACAAGGCGGTGTTGCCTAAGCTTGATGTGAGTCTGAAGAGAGGGTCTGACTAGGAGAAACGGCAGCATTTGCCCAGGAAGGAACTGAGGGACTCACCCATGCCTTGTGGCTCTTACCTGGAAAAGTATGAAACCCACACAACCTTGAGTTTTCTAGAGCAGAGCTTCTCAGATGTCAGTGTGCAACCAGATCCCTTGAGAACTGTGTTAAATTGGCAGTCTGGAATTGTGCATTTCTCACAGGCTCTCGGATGCTCATGCTGCAGTCTGGACTGCACCCTAGGTATCAGGCCATAGAAAACATCTCCTGTGGCAAACTGGAGACACACAGTGGCTGGTCTGCGATTCATATGCTAGCTGTATTAGTTGATGGTTTTCACTAGGTAAAATCTTTATTTCTTCCACTCTTGTTGTTTTCAGTTTAATTCCTAATCCCTTTATTTTGTAGGCATGTGATTCTCCATTTAATTAGTTATAGATTCGGAATATAGAAATAAGATTATGGATATTTGTTATAAAATGGTGTCCAGCCTCCTTAACCAACCAAGTGTTAACAGGGAAACATATTGAAGTTTGTGTGTCAGAAGGCTGGAATCAATGCTGTATTGCATTTGTTCATCTTGATGGGCCTGTGGGGATGAGAAGCCCTCTTGATCACTTTCAGGAGTTGAGATGTATTGCTCTAGCCAAACCAAATTCTTAGTTCTTTGATGATGGCGGTCTCTGGAGTCAGAGCAGGCAGTCTCTGGCATGGACCCCTTTGCTTATTATGGTAATGCTGACATTGTGCTGCACAGAATCACATTTTTTATATCAGATCTCTCAGTAGAGAGCTGAGTCACTGAAGGCAGAGCAGTGTTACCATAGCCTTTTGAAGTTGGTTCTCCCTGGCACCATTCACCATCTGAACACCCAGAACCAGCCTCCTGGCCAATGGGCTGCCCTTGACATCTCACTCATCTGCCACATGGAAATGAAATGTGCTCATGGCAACTTAGAACCTTCTAGGCCACTGCCAATACATACTGCTTATATGCACAGCATCCTCTGAATTCCATTTTCTACTTGCAACTCCTGAATGCAGCACGCATGCTGATGGCCTTTATCTTCTCCTATTCTATTTCTTAGGGCCCTCGTTTAAAGCAAGCAGTTTGAAAGCAGATAAAAAGTTAGAATTTGTTCCCACAAACTTGCACATACAAAGGATGAGAGTTCAAGACGATGGAGGATCAGGTACTTCTTTTTCTGCCCCCTCTTGCTGAATCACATTTTGCTGCTTTTCTCTATGAGTACTTGGTCTCTGAGTGCCCCACAACTGCCAATTTCCCTGTGTGTTCTGGGTGGCTCAGAGGAGAGATTTGTCAAAGGCAGTTTTGTTAAGAGCCCACACCCCTTCCTTTTGTCTCTCCTCCCTCCAGCTTCCCTTTGTATTTCCATGGCAGAAAATTGCCTGTCAGCCATTCTTCCAAGGCAGGATGCAAGCAGGAGTTGCTGGGTGGCTTCCTGCAGCCCATGTGGCTCCACTTGAAATGTTTTGAACCCCTTTTTGCTGAGGTGATGGCACTGGGCTCCAGCAGACCCTTGGGCAGCCTGGGATGTGGGATCAGGGGAACCAAAGGCTGTATGGCAGTGGGCTGGAGGGGCAGGACTCCAGACTTGTGTGCATATCCCTGTAGCTGGCTCGTCCACAGGCCTGAGCTCAGAGTAATGGAGGAGAGCTTTCTGTCATTCAGATCAGAACTACGACATCGTCACCATCGGGGCACCAGCAGCACACTGCCAAGGTTTTAAGTCAGGAGGTCTCCGCAAAAAGCTGCACAAATTTGAAGAGACCAAGAAACAGTAAGTAGCCAGAAGAGGGTTCGTGGTCCTTGTACAGCTTTCTGATGCTTCTTTTCTTAGTTTAAAATAAATCAAAATAAGGCTGCTAAAACATCCAGCCATCTGACCTGCTTTTGCGTGGCGGAAGGAGCTGCCTTATGGAGCCTGTGCTGCTCTGTGTGTGTGTGACTGAGGGTGGGTGATGAGGGCACTGGATCAATGGTCCTGTCCTGCAAAATGAGAAGCGGGTTGTGATCCACCTTAGAAATGGTGCTCTAGGCAGCCACCCTGTGTGGACTCTGCTGGCTCAGTGTCCTTTAGAGTCCCTGGCCAGTCAGTTGAAGCATCAAGCCTGGAGCACATTGTTTCCTAGAAGACAGGATTGATAAACATTCCCAGTTTTTAAAAGATTCAGGTGGCTGTACAGAGCTACTGTTCTGAGCAGGAAATTTCCAGGTAGTGAGAGTAGTGAAGGTCATTTCAGACAGACATGGCAGAAGCAGTGCATGTGGTGAAATGTAGCCAGGTGCACGGTGCCAGGGGAGGAGAGCTAAGTCAGAGGGCTAGCCTTGCTGCCAGCCTGCTCTGTGACCAGGGCTACAGCACCCAGCAGATCTAGGCCTGGTTCTAGGGACTTAGGGCCTTGCTTGGGAGTAGACAAGTCAGCAAGCCCAAAACAAGCATGCTGAGGATGCTGGGATACATGGAGCAAGGCATCCACCCAGCCCACAGGGGTGGGAGGGAGAGAGCCAGAAATAAACCCAAGCTGTTGTGTTAATTGTGCGGGAAGCATTGATGATCTTCCAGAGCATCACCTGTGAAGATTTCATTGGCTTGGGAAGTGGGGGTGATGAGTCTAGATGACCAATAAGGTCCTTGGACTGTGACTGCAAAATAGAGGAAGTAGCATGAGGTCTCTTGTTTGGGGAGAATAATTATGACTTAGCATGTGTTTGGGCTTATAGGAAAGACAGAAGTGGGTGAGATAAGGTGAATGAGAGGAAGACAGTGCTAGAGCAGGGTTCTGACAGGATGGAATGAGTTAAGAGCAGGCAGTTCATCAGAAGGGCCAGGAGAAGAGGTGGGACTGCAGAGTGATGTTTGAGGTAGAAAGGAACAAGTAAAGGCATCCCTGGACAGCCTTTGCAGCATGTGGGCTGGGGAGGGGAGGGTCAGACTCAGCAAGCAAGCATGGAACAGCTTGAGAGAAGGTGAGCGAAGGCGCTCATGAGAATCATGTGGATGGTCAGGCCAAGAGCTCTGGTTCATGCCATAGAGCTGGTGGTTGGCACCTGACTATGCTGCTGCACCTGGGAATCAGGACGTGATTTGAGAAAACTGACTCTGGACTGGAGCAGGAAGGAGGCGAAAGGTTAGATCAGTGGCTGAGGGGGTCAGGGAGGCAGCTAGGGGCATCACTGATTATGCGCAAGGCTGGATGGCTGAACAGGGAACAGAAGAGCATGCCCTGTGAGAAGTCACCATTCAGATATGTGCACAGGCTACTTGGGGCCAGCCCAGAGCCTAGTCAGTCCTGGAGATGGGAGGATAAATGGGGAAGGGGAATTCAGGCCCCTAGACAACCTAGTTGAGCCTGATTCATTCCCAAGGACACTTCCCTCAGCAGACAAACCAGGTAACCAGACCTGTCTTAGGATTCTCTGACTCCAGTGTCCCTTTGGGAAATAGGAAGAAGACTCAGCTTCCTGTGCCCACCGCAGCTCTGCACAGCCAGCCGGAAAGCGTGTCTGTTGCTCCATTGCATGTTGCCCTGTGGAGAGTGTGAGCGTGCAGCTTGAGATGGCTTGGGGCCCTGAAGGAGGACACATAGTCACTCTGTGTGGCCAGTCAAGAAGGGGGCCGCCTGGATTTCTTTTTCCCCGGAGGCTTGGAGTGTTGATTCCTGATAACTCTGCATGTTAACTTTAGAATTTATTTCTTAATACCTCTTTAGTATTTTTCAAATATAGAAATTTCTATTTGACTTCCTACTAATGCCATCAAGCCGCTTATAGATACGTTTTTCAGGATTTGAGTGTTCCTTTAAATGTAGCAGTAACTTGGCCCGAGGCGGGATGTCTCCCTGGGGCTTGAGTACAGGTAGTGATGCTGCTCTAAGGAATAATTACATTGGGCTCATAATTGTAGTCATCCCTGTAGTTGGGACCTCAACAAATAATGTTAAGTATTTTGACAAAAAATAACTTGGCTTTTTAATTTTTTGTTTTTGCATTTGGTATTTGCTAACAAACTGCTAATATTTCATTTTGGTTCTTTTCTTTAGCAGTTTTGAGGAGTGTTGGTGAGTTTTCTGTCTGTGAAGAGAGTGTCTGTTTGGGTCTCACCCTCATGCAGAGAAAGCTTGTGCCATCCCCACCCCGCCTCGTGCCGGCCTCCCCCATGGTGCTGCCATGGTTCCTAGTTACACACCTCATAGACAGTTCTCTCTTCCAACTGCAATGTTCTTTAATAATGAATAGCCAATCTCCAGTCTGCTGTTTTACCTTTAAAACTTGGCAGCTGGGTGTTGCTGTGCTCACTCTGAGAAAGGACCTACTTTTCTTTCTCTCAGGAAGAGGAAGGGCCCGACCCAGGAAGCCACTGGGTGCTGGGTTCTCATGTCAGTCTCTGGGTGCAGCTGGGAACTCCTTTCTGTCTTCTTATACAGGAATCTTGTGGCTTTCCAGTTTTCACTTCACTATTACCTCTGGTATGAACGAAGCCAGCCTACGTCTTCATGATACTCATTAATTTATGCAGATTTTAATAACACTGTTACTGGAGTCAGTTTGCCCCCTCAGGGTGGGTGCAAACCAAGATTTAATACAACTGAGTGACTTTTTCCACCAGATAATTAGATGGCAGTTAGAAACCTTGGTGTCTGCTGCCTGGGCTTCCTTACTGCTGCCCCAGGCCCATAACATGGGCTCTACAGTGGTGCTTTATTCAGAGGCACCTTTAGCCCCTCAAGAAATGCTGCTGCCTCAGAGCCTGAGACCCATGGGGCTGAGGCATCTCAGATTTCCCCTGGGGGTCCTTTTCCCTGGGGGTACTTTAGGTCCAAGGGAGGGAGGAGGGCATCTGGGGATGGTTGCTGTTGTTGCACCTGCCTCTCTAATGGAGGAGACCCATGCTACTTCTGTGGAAGTGGCCTCTCAGCCTCCCCTCCCTGACTTTTCTCTACTGGGGCCTCTTTCAAGGTCTGATCTTTCCCATAATGAGACAAATAAAGTACCTGGGGGTTGAGTCTAGGGATGCAGAGGAAGGGGAATGGGAGGGGAGAGCCAAAGGCCCAGCTGCCTCCAAGGCCTGCTCCTTGGTAAATCCCAACCCAGGTGTTCCGGGTTGACACTTGTTCCTGGGGAACTTTCTTAGTTCCTGAGTTCCCTCTGAGGACCCTCCATAGTCCAATCTGGGCCTGGTTAGCCCTTCCCCCTCTGCTCCCTGCTCCCCATATACAAGACTGTCCCTGAAGTGGGGAGGAAATGGAGTGGAGAGGGTTATAAGCAGAAGGAGTGTCCCTGCCTGGAGACTGTGAGGGGCTAAATCCCAGGCGGAGAGGACCCAGCCTCCCAATCCTGCCCTTACAGAACCCAGCACCAGGGAGCTCAGCCTCTGCAGAGGTGATCCTGCTCTTCTATTTTTCAGAGTGACTTTTGCTCAGCAGTTTCTGGTCAGTGCTACAAGACCCCACCCTTACACTCTTGTGGCATCTTCAGTTTAGCCCATGACCCCAGCTCTGGGTAGGTCCATATCTGGGGTAGGGGCCTAATGCAAAGTCCAAGGGCCATACCTAGGACACTGCATTTTGGGGCTGCCCCTGGGCTTCATGTCTACACCTCTATCTTACCGCCTTCATATGGCCTCCTGATTTTTAAAACTAGGTAGTTGAGCACACGTGCTTGTATTTTCCTCATCACCCTAAACAACACCTCTTTGAAATTTGCCTTTTCTTGCCCCTGCCATGTATGTCCCATGCATGAGTCCCAGGTACCATCATTAAACATGACTTATGAGAACACAGGGCAAGTATAGGGCGGTGCTTTTCTCTTGGCCTGAGCAGAGGGTATATATTTGTTGAAGAATACACAGTCACCTTTTTACACAGTAGTAGATCTACATACAGCACATTTTACATATGTTCTCTAAATACTGGGGGCCTGGGAAAATTCCTCCCCTCTCCTCACTTTTTTTGGAGCCTGGGTCTTGCTCTATCACCCAGGCTGGAGTACACTGGCACCATCATAACTCACTGCAGCCTCAAACTCCTGGGCTCAGTTGACCCTCCTGCCTCAGCCTCCTAAGTAGCTGGAACCACAAGTACAAGCTACCATGCCTAGCTAATTTTTACATTTTTTGCAAAGATGGCGTCTCACTGTGTTGCCTAGGCTGGTCTTGAACTCCTGGGCTCAAACAGTCCTCCCACCTTGGCCTACCAAAGTGTTGGGATTATAGGCTACCATGCTTAGCTGAATTGATTTTTTTAAATCCTATTTTGAGATTGTATTTTTAAGATGAAATAATCTTAGAAGGCAGCTATTCATTTGGAAGAGTGATTGCAGATTGGAAAGTAGTCGTGTGTATATCATGCTGTGGAATGACTCCTGTTGTGCCTGTGGGCTTGATTGCGGTCTGCTGCATGGGCTTCTGGCACATCCATTGTTTTTTATTGTGGCGTGTGAGCCTGTTGTGGTGGTGTTTCTTTCTGGGGTGCTTTGGTTTTTGGTTTTTGCATGTTTGCCCCATAATCCAGCAAGGGAAGGGGCAATAGTGGTTTCTTGATGACCCACTTTGGGACTTCCCTGGAGAGGGACCAATGGGGAAAGTTCTCAGCCCTGACCAAGGTGACCCTCATCTCCAGGGGAAGTGATGGAGGGCGTGGTGAGAGGTGCCGTCACTCCTTCTCTTTCTTGTTCTTCCCCAGAATTCAAAGGGCAGCCCTTTAGGGACCAGTCAGGACCCCTCATCCCATGAGTGAAGGGACACCCATTCCAGCCAGAGCCCACAGTTTTAAATTTTAGGAGGAGACCTCTGCATTGGTGGCTTGTACTTCTTCCTGCTTTCTTCAGCTTCCTCAGATGGTCTGAAAAATAATTTTATAATATTGGATTGATTGGGATCCTGGCTAAGAGACATGCAATTTATCATCACTATTTAGTTGGACCCAACACGCAGGGGGACTTGAAGTTGGTCCTTCAGTGCCTCCTGATTGTTCTGGGAGGGGGCTGGGCTGTAGGCTTGGCATCAGATCCCTAGACACACACACTGCTTGGTGGTGAAGAGGTGGGAAGGAGGGAAAGCGAAGGTTTCAAAGCCACTGAGGAGTCTGGCTTCACCTCTGGCTTGCCACATTCTCCACTTTCTCTTCATTTGATGATTATTTTTCAAAGTAGGGAAGTCCTAGAGCAAAGGAAAGGGAAAGGAAACCCAATTTTCTGGGGACTGCTGAGGTCAGAAGTGAGAGGAAGAACAACTGTGGGTGTGTTCACAAGGAGCTTGAATTCCTGATTGACCAAATGAAAAAGTTGGTTTTGGCTGTATGGGGACAAAGTCCAACACCCACTGCAGTCTCTGCTACACTGTGATAACCTGACCCCTTCTGTAAAGGGCCTCAATGTCTCCACTTAAGTACTGCTTATAAGTTAATAGATGAGGTTCTGAGGTGAAAGCTTACGATCATTTGGGTGATTATGAGATATGATTGTTCAATACCTGTTCACACATTTAAATACACAAGTAAAAATACAGGTATGTGCAAATACAGCTAAAAGACTGAGTCATAGTTTAATATTTCAAGCTTCTGCCATATAGCCAGAAAGAATCTCCTAAGATATATTTAGCTCGTCAACTAGAGTAGCCTAGGAGAACATCCCTGAGTCACAGAACCCTTCATCTTAGGGTTAATTGTGGCTGGGGTTGGGATGATGCTGTCGTCCTTTTCAGATTCTGGAGAATCCCTTAGAATCTATTCTTGCTCTTTTCAGTACATCATCTGGCTGCCAGTCCATAATCTACATACCACAGGATGTCGTCAGAGCCAAGGAGATCATTGCCCAGATCAACACCCTGAAAACCCAAGTTAGTTACTACGCAGAGCGGCTCTCAAGGGCAGCCAAGGACAGGTCTGCCACTGGCCTTGAGAGGACGCTCGCCATCTTGGCAGACAAGGTAGGAGGAGTGCCCTGCTGCATGTGAACTGGAGAGTTTCCTTGAGTTTCTGGAAGCTGCTGGGCAGCCCAGGTGTTTCTAAGGTGGTCCACAAAGAGAGTGACGTTGGGATGACTTTGAAGATCTACCTTACGTCCATTTCCCACAAAGGCCCAGGGAGGTTTCATGATTTGTCCACAGAACTGGACAGGCCAAGGGCAGAGCCCAGGGTTGATGACTCTTAGGTACAGCTTCAGGTACATGTGCCCTTCAGCAAGTCCATGGGGCTCATTTTGTTGGGGCTGAGAGAGTTCCACTGCTTTCTCAGTAACAGCCTCACCAGCACTTTTTTTTTTTTGCCGCGGTTCTATTGTAGTTGAATTTGAAAACAGAAACTGAGCTATCATACAGACATAAGATAAGAACAATATAATTTTACTTGCTTATATATAGTCAGTAAACCAGCTTCTACTTAGCCATAACTTGATCCTGATTTAAAAAAACGTAAGTATTCATTCATACTGAGGAAGTGGCTGTATCAGATCCTTCTGATGGATAATGCTTTTTCCCCATTACTCAGTCTCCCTCTCAGTGCACACACACACGCTCACACACACATACACAGATTCCAACTACACTTCCCCACTGACACTTTGCTGTTGAGCTGCTCTTCTTGATCAGAATGTGCTATATCCTTCACATGTGTTCATACAGCATAAAATGTTCACACAGCATAAATGATTGGGACACCCTCATGGCCTGGTGGACGGAGAGCATAAAGAGTGATAGGTGGGGATTAGATATACTGAAAAAGAAAGATGTAGTTGTCAGCAGTAACATTATGAACCACAGATCCTGTGTTGCATGCAGAATTCTCCAAAACCAAACATGTGCCACAAATCCAGCTACCCAGAGCCCAGAACTTGAGGTATTATATCCTGAGGAGCAAAAGATAAGACTTCCACAGTTGATCCAAAGTAAGGCCTGAACCCTGGACACTTGCCCACTAGAAGGTAGAGGACAGGCCAGGAAGTCTGTCAAGGCTGGGGCAGTGAGCTGTCTCTGTAGGCCCCTTCCCTAGCAATCACAGGTCAGAGGCAGGCAGGGATCAGAGGATATCAGAGATTTCTCAGCCTCCTCTCCTCTGCCTTGGTGGGAAATTCTTGCTAAGATACAGCCCAAACGGGCCACATGGTAGTCTTTGTATTTAGACATCCTGAGGGATGCAGCCCTTCAGTTGTTTTGCCCTATGGATAAAGGCAGAGGGATGCATTGCTGGGCCTTAGGCTCATTCTCCATTTCTGAGATAAGGCAGGGGCCTCCCCAGCCCCTGGCCTGGACTCAGCAGCCTTGGTTTATGTACACCTGCAGACACGGCAGCTGGTCACGGTCTGCGACTGCAAGCTGCTTGCCAACTCCATTCATGGGCTGAATGCTGCGCGGCCTGACTACATTGCCTCCAAGGCCTCCCCCACCTCGACTGAGGAGGAGCAGGTGATGCTTAGAAATGACCAGGACACCCTCATGGCCCGGTGGACGGGGAGAAACAGCCGATCTTCCCTGCAGGTGGACTGGCATGAGGAGGAGTGGGTGAGTCTGCTGCTGTGGCTGTCATCCCACTGCTGGACTTGGGCTGGAAACCACAAAGACAGTTGCCAGTCTCTGCCTCTTCAAGGTGCCTCAAGGTTTGGCTGCTGTGAACAAGCCCCAGGTTTCCTTCCTGGATGGCTCCTTGGCTCATGATGCAGGGAGGTAGACTATTTTCAAACCCTCGTGTCCAGATAGGGGCAGGCCTGCGCTGGAGGCAGGGCCAGCCTCTGACCTGGATGGAGAGAAAGAGAAGTGGGTTTTCCTCCTGAGCCTATGCCCTGTTGGAGGTCTTCTCTCCTTCCCCTGCTGCCTGTGCCTTCTGTGGCCTTGGAGTGCTTGAGAGCAGTCAGCCCTCTCTTGCTTCCTCAGTGCTCTGTGTGCTGTTTGATTTTTCAGGGCTATGTGTGTTTGGGGATGTGGGAGCTTGGTGCTGGGGCAAGTAGGTGTGGATTTTGGAGCTGCTTGCCCTGACATTACATCACATTATTGTTCCTCACAGAATTGGCACTGGAAGAAGGATCTGTGTTTCTTGAGGGAGTGACACATTGTACAACTTGTTTTTGCCATTTATTGGGACTACTGCTTAGAGGCATTGTCCTGCAAGTACTGAATCAGCAGCGAAGTGCCTTCCTATAGGCTGTGTGTGTTTCTGCAAATCATTCCCAGACCTCCCTCACCTCTTCCCCACCTCTCCTATCCCAAATTTCCATTCCCTTCCATCAGAAGGGAGGCCTCCATCCTGTCTGCATGTGATAGTTGTAGGAGGTCTGCAGTTCCCTTCAGGCAGCGCTGGAGGCACACCTGGCCTCCAGAATAGTCACTAGCAAACATCTCCCAGACTCTAAAAACAGTGGCCGCAGGACATTGATTCATCATTGAAAAGCAAATAAAACTTCGATGGGGAATTAGGAATCATCTTTATATTTCTAAACTTTGAGATATTTTAATTAAGTGTGGAAGCCTAGGGCAGGGCATCCAAGGAGGGCGATTTGGTTTTTGTTCTGTTTGTGTTTCTGTTTGGGAGAGCTGACCCACACAGACCTCTTTGATTTGGAAGGAGAAAGTGTGGCTGAATGTGGACAAGAGCCTGGAGTGCATCATTCAGCGTGTGGACAAGCTGTTGCAGAAGGAGCGGCTGCATGGCGAGGGCTGTGAGGACGTCTTCCCCTGTGCAGGAAGCTGTACCAACAAGAAAGGTAACCGGGACAACCACGCCTACTGGATCAGACCAGAAGACCCCTTCTGTGATGTCCCCTCCTCGCCATGCCCCTCCACCATGCCCTCCACTGCATGCCATCCTCACCTGACGACACGTGCGTATGCATCCATGCTTCCTCCACGCTGCCTTCACTTTACTCTGTGCTGCCTCCGTTTGTCTGTGTCTCTGACTCCATGCCCTCCTCTCCCATGCAGACTGCAGGGAGGGCTGCCAGGTGGAGCAGGGGCATCCCAGTGCCTGGAGCATTGGGTAGTGAGAGTAGACTCTCTGGTTCACTTTCCATATAACTGGAGCCTATGTGTGATTCTGTATCTCTGCCAGTCAGAATCTCAGGGTGCTCCTGGGACACATTACCATGGATGTAAGGGTTGGGCTCCTGGGCTTTTCAGGTTCGTAAAGCAATCTGAGAACCTGAAGGAGGCCAGGTTGCAGATGCCTTTCTGATGTGATTGTCTATGGCATTAGGAATTGGTAGAATGAAAGGGAAAGGGGAATTATGCAGGGACACAGCTGGATGAGAGATAGTGGCTCTCATCCAGTGGACATGTCTAAAAGCTGGTTGGCGTTGGCTGAGCACTGTCTTATCCAGCAGAGGAATGTTGCCTTGGGACTTGGTAACACAGTCAGAGAGTGGGACCCTGTTCCTGGGCTTCTGGTGGGCTGAGTCGGGGTAGTTTGGCAAGACCCTTCAGGGTAGGACATTGGCATGAAGCAGCACACTTCTGAACACTCGTGTCTGCAGAGACACAGCATAACGACACTGTCCTGCAGATGGCCTCAAAGCTGGGAAATGGGTGCTTTCTAATATGCATGTCCTTGGTCCCTGCAACTAAGGTGCTCCCGCCTTTTCCCATAAGAGCCGGAGAGTTACAGGCTAGGCAGCTGAGACTTGCCTGCAGACCTAGTTTCTGCCTCCTTTTTGTTCTCCTGTGGGAGTTTTAAGCCATAGTGGCTAAGGCCCAGTTGTGCTGGGATTAGGCGTCATGTGATGAGGGCTTTTAAATTCTGAATTGGGGAACTTCCATTCAAGATGTAAGTGTGCTTTTTGGTCAGAGCCTCTTGGCAAATCCCCCATCAGGTTATAAGATGCCCTTCGCCTCCTTACTCTGCCTGCAGTCTGTTTCCAGGGCACTGTCTCACTTGAGCCTGTCTCGACAGTTACCACGTCACCCATCTCTCCATCTATGAGGGATTATAGTTTCACTTCCCTACACCTGTGATTGGTTCATGGAACTATTTTGTCTCTATTCATGTTCTCTTTTTTATGTAAATCATGTTCCTTTTTGAAATTTTCAGAAAGTTCCTTGTTTATTTGTCTTTTTGCTTTATTATCTTGTTTGTGATTTTGCATATTTCTGCAGATATGAAAAGAGTAATTTACTGGCTGTTTTAAATGTGAGAGCTAGTTTATTTCATCAGATGGGATTATCCCCAACTTAAGTGTCATATTTTTTTCTAGGCACATCCTGTATTGTTTAAATATAGATACATTTTTATTCAGTTTTAAAGTTATTTAAATGAGCATTTATATATGCTATTTAGGGTTTGACTTGTGTGTGTGCCATAAAAATCAGCTGTTATAATAATGGAAATGTGAAGCTTACATTTGAGAGAGTCTAACTCTGCTGATCGGTACTCAAAGAAACATATGAAACCATATGCCACCAAATTATCTGTGGACAGTCCTTAATTTAAACATCTTTAGCATAGCCAGGAAGCTGTTCAGTCCTCAGTTAAGCAGGAGGATCAGAAAGAACCAGACTGTGAACTGTTTCTTTTGGTGAGTCTTGTCCACAGTGCCATGCCTTGGGCATATCATGACTTTTTATACCATTCCAAGTTACTGGAGCCATTGTTTTGGCTTAATGAGCAAGTATATTCACACCAACATATTTATTATATAAGAATAACTCTGTACTGCTCCAAAAGGCATCATCACTTTTCATTCCAGTTCTCTAACCTGTCCTAGGTCCTTGGTTTTATTTTTCACCAAGGAGCTACCCTGCCTCAGAGCTGCCCAGCCCTGATCAGCTGGGGGTCACCCAGGGCCAGAGCTTGGTTGGGGACCCACTGACAAGTCCCTGCCAGCCAGAACCACAGAGGCTTCTCAGACTTCCCTCTTTCTTGTCTCTCCAAAAGTCTCCCGCACCCCTCCACGCCCTCCTGCCAAGGTGCACCACCATTGCCCCACCAGGATTTGGTGGCTTCTACCACCTTCCTCATGTACAGACAGTTGCTCTCCTCATACCCAAAGAGACACTCAAAGTAAGTTTTTCTTAGTCTGGGGTCTATGGGTACACCCCGGGTTCTTGTACCCCTTAAGTCCAGAGTGGTTATCTATTCTCAACTCCATGACCTAAGACAAGGTACAAGCCATTATTCTAAGAGTACCAGAGAAGACCCACTCTTTCTCCCCTTGGCTTGAAAGATGAATTTTGTAAATTGGGTTTAATTGCTGATGCCTTCACAGGAATGGTCCCAAGCCAACTATTTGGGATAACCACAAAAGCTCATAAAACAGGCTCCTAGACCTTCCTCCTCTTTCACACACTCAGAATCCTAGAAGAGGGGTTGTGGGGAGGCAAAAATCTGTATTTTTTCAAGGCCTTGCATAACCTGATTAGCAGACCATCATGTAAGAGCCATGATTCTGAATCACTCAACACTGCTGTGGGTTTCTGTCTTTGTTAGCAAGATGGTCTCAGGGATCTGGGTTCTTTTTGTTTGTTTGTTTTGTTTTGAGATGGAGTTTTGCTCTTGTTGCCCACACTGGAGTGCAGTGGCATGATCTCGGCTCACTGCAGCCTCCACCTCCCAGGTTCAAGTGATTCTTGCCTCAGCCTCCCAAGTAGCTGGAATTTCAGTCATGTGCCACCATACCCAGCTAATTTTGTATTTTTTAGTAGAGATGGGGTTGCTCCATGTTGGTCAGGCTGGTCTCGAACTCCCGACCCCAGGTGATCCACTTGCCTCAGCCTCCCAAAGTGCTGGGATTACAGGTGTGAGCCACTGCACCCAGCCAGGGTATCTGGGTTCTAACGAAGAGGTCGAACTCTTGAACTTACAGATGCCTCTGTATTCTCTTTCCCCTTTGCCGCTTTGAAAAGTCACTTCCAAAGACAATTAGAGAGGAAGGATCCTTTGCCCCTTCTTTACAACCTAGGTTGTAAAATTCCCATAAAGCTGGTTCCAGCTGTTCTTGGGGATCTGAGACCACCTCATTTCCACATCCTGAAGACATTCTTTGAACTGAAAAGCTCAGACATAAAGTAACATGAACGTTTTATTCCATGATTCTTTATCAGACTTGTTTTCTGTTAGATATTGCACCCAGTTAACTTGAATTTTTAGTTTTGAAGGGAAATACAAAATTGAAATAAGCACATCCCAGTGTGACTTAGTATGGGTGAAATGGAATCAAAATTGGTATTCTTTGAGGACCTGAAGGGACATTCTAATTGGAGACTACCCCTAAATCACAAAACCTAACATTCAATTTAAATTTGGAAGATTGGCATAGATTTTCTTTGGTGTACCAGTTTCATTCCTGGATCTCAGCAGTCGACCTGAGCCCAGGCTTCCCCAGTAAATCAGAGCAGTGGGCCTGACTGGGGAACACTCCATGTACGGGTCAGTCTCTCTCCTTAGAAGTTTGCTTCCAGATGCTGCAAGTCAAAGTGAGGCTCTGCCACTACAATGTGATTTATGTGGGTGCTTTTTTCTGTGGCATTTATCACATTGTAATAAGCTAGATCGCACATCCCGAAGAGCATTTTATGTTGAAATATCAGCAACATGAATGTTTAAGCTGGGGAATCGGTCATTGTTTACCACTGCCTTGGAGCAGCCGGAGTGCTTTCATGAGTCTTCTTGGGGAAGAGGCAGTCAGGCACCCAGACCTCTTCTCTGTTTGTTAGCCACCTTACTGCAAGCTGCTGATGCAGCTGCTCTGAGACTGAGTTGCTTGGTTTGAACTGTGTGCTTAATCATCCATGTCGCCCTCCATTTCTGTGCAGATTGCAGTCCCCCTCCTGAAGAGTCCAGCCCAGGTACGTGGTTTCTGTTCAAGGCTCCTGCCGATGCCCTTTTAATTAATACTCGGGTAGTGTTTTGTAGCTAAATTACCAAAGATTGCCTTATGGTCCCGGGGTTGTGAAAGTATCCCAGGACCTCCTTCATTGTGAGGCGTATAACACTTTTCCAGGTTTGATGAGGGACCAGTTGGGCTGAGGAAATTGTGGCCTGAGGCAGATCTACCACATGTATTTGTTTTACTCTTAACGTTCTAAAGTCTTTCTAGATGAGTGCATTGGGCTTCCTGAAGTGCGTGGCCTGAGGTAGGGAGGTACACATTTGGACTTTCTGGGTGCAGTTTTAGAGTTCTTATCAGACATTGTGATGGGCCTCAGTTGGAGTTAGTGCCAGAAATGTAATCTCTTTGCTGCATTTGCATGTAGAAACCAGTGTTTACAGTTCTAGTTCAGGGGTTGGCAAGCTACAGCTCTGAGCTAAATCTTATCTACAGCCTGCTCTTGGAAATCATGTTTTGTTGGAAACTAACCTTACCCACTTGTTAATGTATTGTCTATGGCTGCTTCTGTACAGCAATGCCAGAGTTGAGTTGGTTGCAGCAGAGGACCCATGGCCTTCAAAGCCTAAAATATTTACTATATAGCTCTTTACAGAAAATGTGTGCTGACCCCTGATCTAGTGCTTACTGAGTTTCCTGGGTATGGCTTGTGGTTTTGAGCATGAGTCCCTCAAAGAATATGATTTGACGTTCTTTTTCTGACATTCCAAAAATCAGCTGCATGGTCAGTCTATTGCTTGCATATTTCTGACTGGTAATAAATATGAGACAGCAGGATACTTGCTTGATGTCTAGAATGTAGTGAGTCCATGACTGTGGGATTTACTAGGCTAATACGCTATTCCTGTGCATTGCTGGTGAAGCCTGTCCACCCATACAGCCCTGTGAGTCAGCATAGTATGGCGACTCCTGGCAGCAACCCCAGGGTGCTCTTTGAAGTTAGCTCATTGGCAGGCTAATCTGATTGGACACATCATACTCTCCTAGTTTGCTTTCAGCTCCTTTGCAGTTTCTCTTTCCCAAAAAGTCAGTATTGCCTTGAGCAGACCTTGGGCCCTACCACACTGGACCCTCAAGGTTACTGAGGCCTTGGTAGATGTACAAACAGTTGACCTCGGTCTCCTCCATTGCCTCTCCTGGGCCCATGCCTCATTCTCAGGCCTCCTCAGCTGACCTCCACGGCTGGCCAGTACCTTCAGATCGAGCTGACTGTTGCCTGAGCCTCAGCAGTGCTGAAGCCTGGGGCTATACCCAGCAGTTAGGGCCAGGAGAGGGCTGGTGGTGTGTGCACCTGCCCCCATAGAAGCTCAGGGGGTCTTCTCAGTTCTGGGCACCTGAGGGTTACAGAACTAATGGGAAGTCTTGTGAGTCCCCGGGCAGCACACAAGACAATGCCTGGCCGGTAGAGCCTTCCGTGTTGTGTGTCAGCTGGGCCATTTCTAGAAGCACTGATGGCTTTTCCACAGTTGATGCTGATGGACTGAAATGGTCCCTGCAAGGGGTTCTTTTGGCTTTTCCTGTAGAACTGCATTTAATATGGGCTACAACATATACACTTACAAAGACATACACACTCTCCCTTTCTCCCACCCCTACCAATGAGGGGAGAATGCAGAAGAAAAGTACATATTTGAAAGTGCTCTTCAAAGTTATCCAAATTAGTATGACCCATGAATTCACTACCATTCTACAAACATTACGGGCTAGGAACTTTCCACATGGGTCAGTGATGTCACCCAGACGTTGTTCCATTGAGCTTTTTTTTCATAGCAAAGCTGTCTCAGTGAAGGAAGCAGAGTATACACCCTTCACTGACTCCAGCGTCCCAGGTGCCTTTACTTCATTAGACCCTGGGTAGAAATAATGTTACTGCCCAAGAAATTCATTTTGTTTGACATTTTAAAAAATTGTTCCAGACATGTCTGAGCCTTCTCTGGGCAGATGCCACATTCAACTTCTACCAAGTTCCACATCTCCACTTCTCCAGGATAAACATCTTAGTGCTTTTTAGCCATTCTTCCTATACTACAATTTTTTTTTTTTTTGAGATGGAGTCTTGCTCTGTCACCAGGCTGGAGCACAGTGGTGCAGTCTCAGCTCACGGCAACCTCCGCCTCCTGGGTTCAAGCGATTCTTCCGCCTCAGCCTCCCGAGTAGTTGGGACTACCGGTGCATGCCAAACACCCGGCTAATTTTTGTATTTTTAGTAGAGATGGGGGTTTCACCATGTTGGCCAAGATGGTCTCGACCTCTTGACCTCCCGATCCACCCTCCTCAGTCTCCCAAAGTGCTGGGATTACAGGCATGAGCCACTGCGCCCGGCCTACTACAATTTTTTTTTTTTTTTTTTCGTTTTTTTCCTAATGTAATAAAGCAATCATTCTCATAGGAATTTAGTTTAAAGAGAAATAGGCAGTGAAAGGTTGTATGGAGAGAGCTTGCTTAGTCAAGTAAAACCACTTGTATATTTTGATCATTTTCAGATTAAAATAATCATGATTTTTCATGGTATGCATGGTAGCTAGAAAAGCAAAGTAAAATTGGCAGCATTTGCTTTAAGAGCATGTACTTCTTAGTGAAGCGTAGTCTTAATGACTGCCTTCCTTTCCCCAAATTGTTTGGCTACAAAAACCTGTTTGCCATTGGCATTTTTGACAGGCACTTCAAAAATTGGCATACATTCAACAGAATTCTTCAAAGAAACAAAAACATGGTCTCTGAGAACTTCATGGAGGAAAGAGACTCGGACATTATCTAGTGCTTCTTTCTCATTTTATAAAAAAGGACCCACGTGGCTGAGGGGTCGAGAGCCTTGTCTGTGGTTACCGCTGCTCAGCAGTGGCTGGGGCCAGGACCCAACATTTTCTATCTCTCAGTCCAGTGTTCTTCGTCACCATGATTCATTTGCTAAGACCTCACTGCTGTGGACTTTCTAAATTTAAGCCTGCTTTTTCCATTACACTTACAAATCCTGTCCACAAACAGTTAGTGTGCCTGCATGTACAGTTAGTTCACCTCCAATTTCTGAGCTGCTACGTGTACTTGAAAATTTGCATTAACCAAACACTGAGTGTAGGGAATTCTTTTGCATGTTTCAGGTATTTCTTTAGGTTTGTCTCTCAGTGAAGTGCTAACCATTTAGCTTGAGAGAACAGAGCCAACCTGCCTTTCTCTCAGTCTCTGAGAGTCTGTTTGTCTAAGACAGAGGCTACCCTCTGGCAGCTGCACAGCTCCCACAGCCCATGGCCTTCTCGAGTGCCATGACGTGGCCTGGTGCATTCTGTGGCTCAAACCCTCACCCTGAGGGGCGTGCACTGCCCGGGCTACTCCACAGCTTCTCACCATGTTTGGTGTGGTGGATTCACCAAGTGATGATGATCAAATGCCTGTTTCTGGTCTTAGTGACCTGTTACAAATATAACCTTAATGAGAGCCTGTCTTCTCTTTTAAATGTCTTCTAAATAGGGAGGAAAAAGAGTCAAAACCCAAAATATCTTTCACCCTGTTTTTCTCTTTTGAGGTTCTATTTTTAAAACGTTGTTTTGGTACAGGGTCAAAGTTTCCCTATATTCCTAAAAGAAAACTAAGCTAAAATTAAAAATAGCACTGGGGAAGGAAGGTGGGGGCGGGGAAGAAGTGAGTACAAGGAAGGGGCCGTCCTGAGGGCTGAAAACTTGGGAGCTGTAAGGAATAGTTCTCCTCTAGGTGTGCAAGATGAGAATTGAACACAGTTGCGCACAAGACTGGGCAAGGGCAGAGAAGCCTCTGACTTGACTTCATACCCAGGTCAAGAGAAGGGAGATTAGAGAATCTTTCTGGTGTCCTTCCTCTCCGGGTGGAGGTGCTACAGTGCTGTGGAAGGAGATGGTTCTCTGTGGACAGAAGCATTTTCTGACCTCGTCATGACTTGCAGAAGCTTTTTTGTTGTTTTTCTCCAGAGGCATTATCTTGAGTATTTCTGTCTAGGGTCCGCAACAGGTTCCGGAGACCAGGCATGTGTTGGTGATACCAGAGTAGAACTGATGTTTGAGTTTGCTGGAAAGAGCTACTGCTAGAGGGCTAGAGACTGGGTTGGTTCCAGGCAGAGCTAGAAGATGGGGTGGAGATGGGGGAGTGGGAAGACTGCAGTGGTTAGGGGCCAAGTGACTTGTTAAATTGCCAGAAACTAATTCTTAAGATCTCTCTTTCTCACTATGACCCCTTCACTTGTGCCCCAGGTGAATGGAGTGAGGCCCTTTACCCGCTGCTGACCACTCTCACTGACTGCGTGGCCATGATGAGTGACAAGGCCAAGAAGGCCATGGTATTCCTGCTCATGCAGGACAGTGCGCCCACCATAGCCACCTACCTGAGCCTGCAGTACCGCCGTGACGTGGTCTTCTGCCAGACCGTAAGCCCCGGGAGCACCCCAAGGGAGGCCACGGGCACCTCTCAACTTAGAAAAGACACGCTTAGGAAACCCTTCCCTCTTACTTCACTTGTAAAAAACCCCAGATGGCCATATTAACTCCTGGTGGTTCCTCTAAAGATTACTCAATAGAGAGGTCTAAATTTCAACATAGGCAGGAAAGCTACCCTGGCAGCCCATCCTTGCTTCTCCCAAGGAACTGGCACCTGCAGAGTCTGCCAGTTTTTTGCCCAGGAGGTAGTGAGGGCATGGGTGGCACAGGCTTCTTTGCTGCCTTTTGGTTTTTTACTGCACAGGAATTTAGTGAAGGCAACATGGGTGTTTGCTGTCGGTGCAAACGTTGTTCATGAAACGGTAGGTGCCTTAGCGCTGGGGCTTGTTGCAAGACTCTCATTGTTGAGAGAAGTGAAATCTTGAAATGAATGTAACAAGTTTAATAGTTTCCAGTAATCAAATTAGTAAAGTGAACAGTGATTGGGGGTTGGGCTGGTTCTCTGCAGGCCCCCCCCATCCTGGGGTGTCCTGTTTCATCCTCCAGAAAATCTCCCACTAGGGAAACTTTGAGTGACCCTCTTATCTGTCACTTCTGTCTTTTGCTGTGGTTAACTCAGTTTCCAGCCAGGGGTGGCATGGCTCTATGAATAGATAGACCCTTTCACATGAGTATTTAATTATGGGCTTCCAGAACATCCCAGAAATAACCCAAGTATAGGTCAGGTTAGAAGCTGGGCCAAAACCAAACTCACTTTGGGAGCGACAGAAATAGAAAGCCCAGAGTGTCAGATGTCTTCCCATGGCCAGGGCATGCCCCATCTGGGCTTCCAGAGGGACAATAGGTACCACTGAAGCCCCTGTGAGCAGTGGCAGCAGAGGGAGGAGGGTGGGTGGGGTGGGGCTGTGCGTGATCTGACTGCCATTTGGTGAGCAGGCATCTGACCCTGAACCACTTCACCCCATGCTCCCACAGCTGACTGCCCTCATCTGCGGCTTCATCATCAAGCTTAGGAACTGCCTGCATGACGATGGCTTCCTGCGGCAGCTGTACACCATCGGGCTGCTGGCCCAGTTCGAGAGCCTGCTGAGCACCTATGGTGAGGCACCTGGGCCAGGAGCGGGAGCCCCGCTTGGTGTGTGGTTTCTATCCTTTCTTGTTAGGTATTTTTCTCACTATACCAGTAATGCATGCTGATTGAAAAAAAATCCAAAATATATGACAGTGGGCCAGATGGCAGTCCTGGCAGTTAGACACACACACCTTGGTTGGGTTTGCTGTTGTTTCTGGTTGAGGATGGATGCTAATTACTAACCAGTAAATTTCCTGTTGGACATTGGGTTGTTTCTGAAACATCAGTGCAGCAGTGGCATCTGTGCACAAGGCACTTGTGGGCCTGTTTCTGCAGCTACTGAATGACTGGAAGGAGAGTTGCTGGGTCAGAGGGTAAAAATACTTTTAAATTCAATAGATATTTCCAAATTGCCCTCCCAAGAGGCTCTCTTCTTCCTACCCTTGTTTATTATTTATTCCTTCTGAGAAGATGATAGCAAGTATTTGTTAATCTTTGGAAATTGAGGACATCGAATAGATATCAAGCCCTGTGTTATGGGAGGGTCTAGCCACAGCAAAGCTGCTTTAGCATCTCTCTTTTTATGTTTCAAAACTGGCTTTGCTTTCTGAGTATATGTGTTTCTGTATTCCTCCCTGCTGTCCTGTGCTTGCCCAAGAAAGGGTGGGAAATGATGGCGTGTGTTTCCACCAGCTGCATGTTTTGACGTGGCTGTGGGATTTCAGTAGCAATATTGACTCACAGCGGGGCAAGTTACAGGGGAAGAAGCTCCCCCTGCACCAGAGCCACATCTGACACCCCTCCTGTCACAGCCAGGCCTGAGCTTGGCGCCTTCTGCCGAGACTCTGGGGAGAGTAGCAGGGCCCTCTGCTTGACAGCTCCGCCCATCTCTCGTGTCCAGGTGAGGAGCTGGCAATGCTGGAGGACATGAGCCTTGGGATCATGGACTTAAGGAACGTGACCTTCAAAGTCACTCAGGCCACTTCCAGTGCTTCCGTGGACATGCTGCCCGTCATCACAGGAAATCGGTAGAGTGTTGGTTTAAATTCTCTGAGCCACAGAGCAGTTTCCATGTTTGGTTATCTCAGGGAATGTGCTCTTCCTTCTGAATTTTTTTATCCTATTTCATTCTATTAAATGCTCTGATTATAGCCCCCTGCTGCCACTCCCTTAAAGGTCTGTGGTTGGCAGTTTGGCCATCACTGAGCCAGAGGGCCAGCCCAGGCACTGTGGTCTGCTTGGCGGCCCTTTGGCCTCACACTGCTCTCCCTCTCTCTGCCTTTTTCCAGCGATGGGTTTAATGTGCGGGTTCCTCTGCCAGGCCCGCTGTTTGACGCCCTGCCCCGGGAGATCCAGAGTGGCATGCTGCTGCGGGTGCAGCCCGTCCTCTTCAACGTGGGCATCAATGAGCAGCAGACGCTGGCTGAGAGGTGCGTGCTGGCCCCTTGGGGCTGTGGGGGTGCAGCGGCCATGGAGATGATGCACAAAACATACTTACCCCTTTTCAGGCTCCAAGTGCTAGACAGACTCTGTCATTCTTCCTTCCTTTGGTCATGTGTACACATTTTCATCATGACCATGTACCTGACACTGAGGTGATCTTTGTCCTCAGAGACTCAACTGATGGGAAAGAGAGACATGGATGCAATAATGAACACACATACAGGGCATTGTGGGATCCTGAGTAGGTAACCCAGTGAGGTCTAAGAGATCTGTTGAAGGCTTCTTGGAGTTGCAGAGGATGGGATTTTGAAATATGAGTAGGAGTTAGATGATGAGATAGAGGGGAGAGGTATCAGATTAAGAAGACTGAACAAAGGCCTAGTGGGGAGAAATAGCATGCAGGCCAGGGCATCAGGTTCCAGGCAAGGATTTGCAGGGGGGGATAGACAGGCTTTGTGTACCAGGCTGAGACTCATGTCTGAACCCAAAGGCTTACACCTTGTAAACTGCCCTCCAGGATCACTTGCCACACTGCAGAGGGGAGCTGTGTGTGCCTGTGTGTGTGTGTGTGTATGAGGAGAAGGCCTACTGGCCTTCTACTAGTACATGAGAATATTTCCTGTATTGTCATTTATTGTCTAAGATATCTAAACAGATCATTAAACTACACACATCACATTATCTTCATGCGATGTGTGTAATATCTTAAAGTACTTTCTGTGGAGGAAATTTGGTCTCCAGAACAATATGCCATATTCCTGCTGGGCCTTCTGATGTCCAGCCCCAGTGGTTGATGTCCATTGACACCTAGATGTAGAGTCACCCCAACTTGGAAAATATGCTGGGAGATGCTGAAGAACTTTCAGTGGGCAGGACATGGTCAGATTTACTTCTAAGTAGGTCGTTTTGCTGGCATGTGCCAGGAGGAGATGAAGGGGACAAATGTGAGGAGGAGGCTGCTGAGGGGAGTCCAGACCAGAGGTGGGAACCTGGATCAGGGCTGGGGAAGTGTTGGTGTTTTGCAAAGGGGCAGGCTGGGGAACTGTTGAAGTGGTCAGTGGAAGGGTCTGGTCTTCAGTGGGGCTGAGGTTGAGTGATAGGAGAGTATACCAGACATTGAGCTCATAAACTAGCAGGAGGGTTGTGTCCAGGGGCAGCTGGTGAGCTGGGTTTGGGCTGAGGGCCCAGAAAGCAAAACCCCAAAGGTGTAAGCAGAGCTGGAGGAGCTTATGCCAGGGAGAGGCAGAGCTTCACTGGAGCCCCAGCAGGAAGGTGGCCTAGGGGAGGGAGAATGATGGTGCCTGTATCCAATATTTGCAGATCCCAGGGACTTGCAGGAGCAGTTTCTGGAGGGGGCTGAGGCAGGGCCAGGTGCAATGAGCAGAAGGAAGGGTGGAGGATGCAACACTGAGAACAGAGAGGATTTGTGAAGAGCAGGTTCTCTGAGAACAGAGAGGATTTGTGAAGAGCAGGTTCTCTGCTTTATTCCTTCATTGGCCCAGAGGTCGCTGGCATGCTGGGCTTGTTTATAAGCTGATGGGAGAGCCCTCACAGGGGAGGCCACAGGCCCAGGGCCAGGGATGGCCCCCGAGGGAGCAGACGCCTAGAGAAAAGGCCATTGTGGGCACCAGGGTGGATGGGCTGGGACCCACAGGAGGGAGTCCTGCCCTCTGAGGGATGCTCTAGGGCCACAAAGAAACTGATGCTCAGAAGGGCCCTCAGGAGGGATGTGTGGGACTGCACTGGGGCCCAGGACCTGGACTTTAGAGGATGCATTTTCTAATGACCACTTTGTGCCTTCCTGGCAGGTGGCATTCCACAGCCTTGTTTCTTAGGCATTTGGCACATGCTCACTTGCAGCACACAGGTGTAATCAGGGTGAACTGCAACAGTGAGGACAGGGCAAGGGTTTCATGGTCAGTCCCGCAGGGACTGGCAGTCAGGCATGTTCATTCTGCAGACAGAGAGTGACTTCAGATTGGAGTACAGGGCTGCAGACTTACCTTCCAGCCATACCTCACTGCCATCCCCCCTCCTAAGTGCCTCAGATAGGAGGAAATCAGGGACTCTGAGCCAAACGGCCATGGTGGGGCTCCTGTGCTGCACAGGATCTGTACCAGATTGTGGTCTGATCATCTGTCAGGCACTCCTCTAACACATGATTCCTGCCAATGAAATGTATTTAAACTGATCAGTTGCCTTTATGCTTGGAAGGAGAGTGGCTTAGAATTTAGATATGCACAGTAAATGTTTGAGAAAGTCAACGTTGTTAACTTTCATGCAGTTGTGTTCATGTTAGAAGAAAGTGACATTAGCCAACTAATGGCATCCCCTTATAACCTCCCAAGGTTTGGCGATACATCTTTACAAGAAGTCATCAATGTGGAGAGTTTGGTGCGGTTAAATTCCTACTTTGAGCAGTTTAAGGAAGTTTTGCCTGAGGATTGTAAGTATTTCTTCAGTCATGGTAGGTTTCACTTACTCATCTTTTTGTCAGTTTGGATGTCTGAGCTCTGGCTTGCCCTGCCTCTGTAAGTGCAGTCCCAGAGGTACTGGCAGTCAGATACTGTTCCTTCTCTCCCTAAACACGCATACAGAAAGAAAAGCTTCCCTTAGCTGTGATCCTCATTCATCTCTTTGCTGTTGATTCTTTACTGGCCTGTGTGACATGGCTCCTTCCCACGCTGTCATAGTCACTGACATTCGATGTGTTTGGTGGCACCCATCATGCACCTGCTGGTAGGGCTTGGGGGATCACAGGAGGACTCACCCTTGGCCAGGTGTGCGGCCAACGCACCTCCCTCTCTGGTGCTTAGAGAGGAAGATGTGGGGCCGACCTTGCTGGGTGTCCGGGAGCAAGATGGCCCCATCTCAGCATCTCCTGGAGGCAGTGGAGATGCTGGCAGTAGTCTCTCTGCATGCCCCTCAGTGAAGATGCTGCAGCGAGGGCTCTCAGAGCTGCACTGCACTGTCTACATGTAGAATTCCCTCTCATATTCAACCGAGTGAATGTTCCCTGAGGACCTGCTGTGTAAAGTGCTAGAAGGTCTGATGACGAATGAGGGGTAGGCCCTGCCTTGGAGAGAAAGCTGGTCCCAGAGTGCCCGCTTCTCTGTGCAGGCACTGCCTCAGCCACTAGGGGGCACCACGCAGCCGAAGGTGTCGTCCTCACTGCGTTACCCTACTCTCCTCTGATAGGAGTTTCCAAAGAGGGAACCCATGTTGGCTGGGCTTTGAATTGTGCAGGCTTCATCTGCATCCTGTACGGTAGACCTTAGAGATTAGAGATAGTCAAACAGTAATGCTGGTGAGCCTTCACAGGTCACAGATGTGCCAGGCACCAGGCTGGGCTCTATACACACTTCCACACTGACCACAACAGCCCTATGGGTTGGTGTTAGGATCCATGTCCAGATGAAGAAAGGGGTACCTGGCTCTGAAGCCCATGTGCTTGGATTGTGGCTGAAGCCATCCTGCTAGGAGAGACTGAAGCCAAACACTCCGGGGCTGGGCCAGGGAGTCTGTGGCTTCAGTGGTGTTCAGCAGGGAAGCAGTGGGGAAAAAGCTGCCTCTGTGGGTTTATAACAAGAGCATGTGATTGGATTTGAAGAGGGGAGGCAAGCCACTGATGGCCAGAGTGAGGCTGTGACACTCCAGATAAGATGTCATTTCACTCTGACTCCAGCCTGGTAGTGACAGTAGGTGTGGAGAGAGGGACGAGCCATTAGGAGGGTTTGGGCTGAGGATGTGCTCCTCTGCGGCCACGTGCAACACTGGGGAGATAAGGGCTGTGCCTACTGGGAGAGCTGACGGATCTGGCACTGGGCGAGGATGTTGGAATTGGCAGCAGCAGCAAGGGCCACCCCACCGATGAGAGAGACACAGGGTTGCAGGGGAGGGTGAGCTCAGCACTGGCCCCAGCTGAGCTGAAGACATGGGCAAATGACCCATGAGGAGTGCCGATGTGAAGCCACAGAACAGAGCCCTTTTATGGTTGAGGCCACTGAGTGGCAAGACGAGAAGGGACTGGAACAGCATCTGGAGGGACCCTTGCTTCTGGGGACAGAGAGGAAAAAGGGACTTAACAGAAGGCCAGAGAGAGCATCCCAGGCTAGCAGGAAGGAGGCAGGAGCCTGGAGGGTGTGGATAAGGAGCTGCTGGTGATCTCTCCTGGACAGTCTCACTGTAGTGGGGGCTGGGCCAGGGGTCAAGGGGTGACAAAATGGCACTGCTTTGGAATGGACCACTCTGTCCCAAAGAATATCAGTGACTTTAGGGATGGGGCAGTGGGCAGGTGGGACATACCTTGGAGATGCAGGGGACATAGGAGTGTTCAAAGGCCTGAGGGAACTCACAGGACTGGAAGATGCGAGAGGACAGCAGAGTCACAGACCAAGCCCTGGAGTGGGCAGGCAGAGGGTGCCTTTGCAGGGAGGGAAGGAAGGAATAGAGAAGGTAGGGACATGAATGGAGGAAATACCAGGTGCTCAGATCGGGTGGCCTCAGTTTCCTCAATAAAACAGGTGTTCTTGTCCTACTCAACATGAGAGGTGAGCACGAAACTGGGGCCTTGAGGGGAGTGGAGGTAACTGGCACAGATGCAGAGAGCCTGGAAAAATACAGGTGCATGGGCCCTACTCCAGAGTGTGGTGGGCAGGGCCTGGGCATAACTCCCCAGGTGGTCCCTGTGTGCCACAGCCAGGGTGATAAACATGACATTAAGTCAAGGTGCTACGAGGACTTGGCAGCTGAAGACCGTCAGTACCGTGGGCAGTGGAGCTGTTAAGAAGGTGTCCTTACACTCTTTAGCAGGGATTGGAGTTCACACAGCAGATTCGTCCACACTCACTGCAAGCCGGACCCCCTACTACGCACTTTATGTGGATTCTCTAATCTGATCCCTGCAGCAGCCCTGGGAAATAGGCATCGGTTTCACACCCACTTGGCAGATAAGGAAACTGAGGCATGGAGGGCAAGTCTCCCCAGGAGCTGGGCCAAGCCCAGGCAGCATCTTATCTTCTGACTGCTCTAGGGGAGTGGATGGGCCCACCCGCAGGACTGGCCAGGGAGCCACAAGGTGAGCAGGGAGGGAGTAGGGGACATGCACTGGGGCCGGGAAGAGTGGGAGTAGTGAGTGGCTGCAGTAAGTAGGAAGGAGGAATTTGTGCCCAGCGCCTTGGCAGCTGGGCAGTCCCAGGGCTCGGGAAGCCATAGACAGTGAAAGGCCCAGGGTCGGGGAGGCCTCCGGAAGCAGAGCAGCCAGTCTGGAACACACAGGCAGGAGCCAGCTGACTAGACTATGACCCAGGAAGCTAGGGCAGATGCAGCCAGGTACCCTTCCCCCCAGAAGAATGGCTGGTCTGTGAGGCTGAGGAGATGAAGCCCACCAGCTGAATACCCCCAAACTTTGCATGGTTCCTCTATGGACAGGTATTCATTAAAATAGGGGCTGCAGGGGCAGTCAGCCAGAAGCCACAGTGCAGATGTGAAGCCACAGGTGAGATGATGCTGTCTCTGCCAGAGGGCAAATACCCTGACCCAGCTAGGCTCCCCTCCTTCGGGGTCCCACAGCTTCCGTCTGGGCTGATGCTGGCTTTCTGTCTCTCTGTCTCGGCCCCGTCCCCTGACGGGTGTGGTGTGGAGCACTCAGCAGCAACGTGAAGTAATTAGCACAGGACCTGTGTACACCAGGGCAAGGCTGTTTGGTGGAAACCAGGTGTGCAGTTAGATCCCAAATGTCATGTACTTAGTTTGGCTTTGGGGATTTCAGTGCTGTGGCTGTTTTACTCAGCCATGACCTTTAGTCTCTTCTCTTTGTCTTTGGTAATCCCAGTGTTTGAAAATCCCAGAGTACCTTTTGGTAGTGGTTGATTTTTTTCTTAGTTTTGTCTGGGGTTTCTCAGTAAGATGACCTGATGGATTGGATCTTCAGGCCCAAGGGGTCCTGGAAGGCCCTGGAGACTGCCAGAGATGAGGAGGAGCTGTTAGGATGCACAAGCAGGAGTAGTGTGGGCCAAGGGCCCCCTGGAGGAGGCTGCGCTTTCCAGATCCCTCCCAAGGTTTCCAGGCCTGCTTGATGGCCCAGACCCACTGCCCCAGTTTCCTCCATCAGGGGGAGGTTTTGAAGACCAGCTGGATCTCCCTCACTCCCTCCTAACTCCCTCATGTGTGAGGAGTGCGGGAGGCAATGGGTATATTTACAAGGAGTCCTGTGGGTGATTTGGTGGCCATTCCCAGTCCCTCAGAAGAGCTGAAGGGAGATAAGGAATTGTCCTTTGAAGGTAGCACTAAAATGGCAGTGAAAGAAATTAAGTGCTCACCACATCAGCAGCCAAGTCTTATCCCCAAACACCTCCATCCCTTCTTCGACTGGAAACTTGTCATTTTACCAGTTTGTGCCACAGCAACTCACTTGGGTGGGCTCCCTCTGTCGGGGGGAGTTCCTGGGTGCGGCACCCACTCCCATAGACTCCTTTTCTCTTCCAGGTCTGCCTCGGTCTCGCAGTCAGACGTGCCTGCCAGAGCTGCTACGGTTTCTGGGTCAGAACGTGCATGCCCGGAAGAATAAGAACGTCGACATTCTCTGGCAAGCTGCTGAGGTACTGTTAGAGAGAGGAAAGGGAGAAAAGGAGTCTATTGCTATGCCCACTACCAAAGTCAGACAGGAACATTACAAAGTAGAATCTCAGGAGGAGAGCAGATCTCTCCATCCTGGTAGAAGAAGGAGTCACTGAGTACATTCTAAAGCTCTGGAAGAGACTGAACAGTTCTCGGAGTCCATTCCTTTGGGGCTGCCTGAATTCTGAAAAGCTTGACACAGACCATTTCCTGAGGCATTTAGTAGCCAGGCTGATGACAGTTGTCACCCTCAGAAGCCTGGCAATCGATACCAGCTGAAACCCACTATCTACTGCATCTTTTAACAGGGTCAGAAGGAGGCCATGTGACCTTTCAGGTCTCTTTAAGCCATCTTTATTGTACATTGTGCTTCTGATCTCATTTTCCCAAGCACTTAACCCTGCTCATATTTTCTCCTAAGTTTATATATACTTAGGATTTCAAGCTGCTGCTCTGAGCCTGGGTATCAGAGCAATTTTGCAGCTGATTGTTCACTCACCCTTAAAGAGGAGTAGGGTTAATTCTTCTCCACAGCAGCAAAACCTGCCCAGCACTGGAACTTGGGCACACATAGCCCGCAGTGGTGTTCCTGCTCCCTGCCTGGGCCCTAGGAGAGGGATGGTGAGCCCAGGAAGGAGGTGGCACTGCACTGCCCACCACACCTCAGCCACCGTGCCTCACCGCAGAGCCTGAGCAGCAGAGCGTCAGCCCTACACAGCTTCCCCAAGCAGCTCACTCTGAAGCATGCCTCTCCTTCTAGTCAGGAAGGTGCTTTCTCAGCCCTGAGTCTCTTCCACAGCAGTAGACGGTCTCAGCTGCTCACAGTGCTTGGCCACCACTTCGGGTTGGTTGTTTAGTCCTATGTTCAAGACTGGCTTCCTGAAGCCACACTTTTTGAACGTGCCCTACATTCTGGGTTTGTTAACAGTTGTGGCTGCTGATACCATTCTGTTGAATTAAACTTTAAAGAGTGAACAGTCCCCTTCATTTTTCGAATGCCTCAGCTGTTCAGACTTTGTCCTCATGGAAAGCATGGGATGGGTCAATCTGCAGGTCTCCCCTCTCTGGGCCAGGCTGCCCTCTAAATCTTTCATTATAACAGAACACACTTTGAAGCACCAAGTGACAGGAAGTTTGGCAGTTTTCTCAGGCCTCATTTTTCTGGTATCCTCTTGGTTTTGGGGCCTCATGGGGCATTGGGGGTCTCTGCAGCAAAGCAGAGGGGCTTACTACTTTTATTTTTTTGGGGGGTTTGCTAAACGTCCTGGCCCAGGCTGTGACAGCCTTTTACCTAAGTGCCTTAAGAGATTTTGTATGAAGAGCAAGCCTTTCCCACATAAAATGAAGAATACGGAGGGTGGCCAGGTGTGGTGGCTCATGCCTGTAATCCCAGCACTTTGGAAGGCTGAGGCAGGTGAATCACCTGAGGTCAGGAGTTCGAGACCAGCCTGGCCAACATGGTGAAACTCTGTCTCTACTAAAAATACAAAAATTAGCTGAGTGTGGTGGTGGGTACCTGTAATTTCAGCTACTTGGAGGCTGAGGCAGGAGAATCGCTTGAACCTGGGAGGTGGAGGTTGCAGTGAGCTGAGATTGCACCACTGCACTCCAGCCTAGGTGACAAAGTGAGACTCCATCTCAAAAAAGAAAAAATAAACAAAACCAAGCAAACAAACAACAGCAATAAAAAAAAAAAAAAAAAAAGTATGCAGAGGGCGACACAGCTAGGCGAACAGTGGTGGGGGATGTGTACTCACTGATTCATTCTCCTTAGAATAAACACACAGGCAGCTTTACAGACGTGCAATGCAGAGACCTTGTGCATACCTTGTTTGGGAACTGTGGTTCTTCTTGTCTATTGCCATATAATAGAAAAATCATTAAGTATAGGTATACTTGACCATCCCCTGTCACCAGAACAGAAAAGCTGTCTATCAAGTCCTGTATTTTTTGTTCCCAGTAGAGACCTCAAAGTATACAAGCATGAGTGTAGAGGCGGAAGTCTCTCAGAGACTCTCTGTTGTATCCATTCTCATGTTGTCCACCACACCCCAGGCATCCCCTGGGGATAAGTGGTTGTGGGGCAGCAGTGCCAGCCACTCAGGTACTGAGTCTTTCCATCCCCAATTTGATCAGAGCTGCTCTCTTTTTCTGGCTCCTATTTCTTTTTGTTTGTGTGTATGAACAAAGCGTCCCTGGCTAAATAGCTGGAATATCTTTAGTCAGGTCTAAGCCCATATCTCATGGATGAGGAGACCCAGCAGTGCACCAGAAGTGGCTGATGGCCTTCTGGGATGGGAACCTGGCACTGCAGTGCTCTCTTGGGCAAGGATGCATCACTGGCCACCCCTGCCTGCCTTTCAGACCCTCACATTAGCTCTGGATGCAGGATCTATGAATTTAAAGCTTTTTGAAACCTATAGTTCCAGCTTCCGCCATGTGTTTGGGTCATATACTCTACAGCCCCCAGAATTTAGTGCACATCCCAAGTTCACTCTTGCTTTGTCAGTTACAACTTTACAAATTTGATTAATTTACTCTTCATTAGTTTAGGGTCTGCTTATCTGCTTAGGGTCTATTGCTCTTTCTTTTTTTCTCTCTTTTGGTCTGTTCTCAAAAGAAGCCTGTTCTCCTTCTGATTGTCCTGCCTGAATAATGGGTCTTTTCTGTTTTGTCTCTCCCTGGACAGGGTTCTTAGCACCGTACCATATTCATGTCTAGTGGTGATCCTGCTAGTGACTGGCATGCTCTTTGGCTTTGCTGGCCTCACAGGCAGGTTCTGTGCCATCTTCAGGAGTTGACAAGACACTGATATTTTCCTGGCATACAACAGATACCTAGAGCCCACCATCATACCACTTGGATGATGTTTCATTAAATACCAGCCTTGCGTCATAGTGCGGTATCTGATACGGTGCATTTATCTGAAGTCCTTTATCTGAAGCCCCTGTGGCCAGATGTTTTGGAATGCACAGGGTTTCAGATTTTAGAAAGTACTATGGTATACAGTTGGTGTTCTTATATGTAAGTAATACGGTGCACATCGCATATGTGTACCATGGTATACATAAAGGATTTAACATCCCCCGGAAGCCTGGGGCAGCACTCTGCAATCAAACTCATATTATTGCCACACTGAAAAGTATGAATATTTACATAAAAAGTAAAGATCATAAGTGGTCTCATATCAGCTTAGGTCTGGTTGTGCTGCGAAATGAGACTGCCACAAATTTACAAAAAAAAATTATTTTGTTTCAGAGCTTACTGGATTTGGTGACTGTATGCTTAGGATTGTATCTAGTGGTGCAGGGAAAATGCCCTGAAATCTCCCCAAGGGGAGAGGAGGTGTGCTCAAGTGGCCTTTTCCCAGTCCTCTGCTCTATGAGCCATTCAGTTGTGAGGAGGGAAGTGTGCTGGTATTAACTCTGCAACCAGGAGAGGATGGCAGGAGGAGGCCTATAGGGTCTGGTGGTCAGGAGGTGGCCAAAGGGCAGTGGAACTTCTGAGCTGCTCCTGTCTGTGTATGTGAAGAAGGATCCCCTGCCTTTCAGGGAGACCTGGCCTGGGACTGCGGGCATCCTGAGAGTGGCTCTGGTTTCCCGAGTGGGTCATCTTTGTCACCCATTTTCCCTCAGGGATCAGCAGTGAAGAGCTGAACATGACAAGAGGGCCCAGGCAAGGTTTGGAAGGGGACAGCAGACTATGATAGAGTGTCCTGTGGGAGAAGGCAGGCCACATAGGGGGTGGCAGGGACAATAGCAGGTCCACAGGCAGCAGGCCCCCAAAAGGGCTGGTGTCTGTAAGTGACTTGGTTTCTGTTACCAGCTCTGGCAGGGCATGGAGTTAGAGAACACAGTTGAAGTGTCTGGCCAGGCCTGGGTGTTGAGTTCCGGTTTGTGCCCTTGCTGGGCCAGTTGGGAACCTCTCCTGTGTGTCAAGGGGCTGCCTTTCTAGGGAGCCTCGCCTCCTAAGTATGACCCATGTTTCTGTTGGCAGATCTGCCGTCGCCTTAATGGGGTCCGGTTCACCAGCTGTAAGAGCGCCAAGGACCGTACGGCCATGTCAGTGACGCTGGAGCAGTGCCTGATCCTGCAGCACGAGCATGGCATGGCCCCACAGGTCTTCACCCAGGCCCTGGAGTGCATGCGCAGGTGAGTGCTGTAGCCAGACCGCGCGCCCCGCCTGCCCCAGCCGTGTAAACTGCAGATGAGCTGGTACCCTGCGCATCTGCCCGTGGGGCCTACCCTGCATGATCCCCTTGATGTCAGCCGTCACACTCGAGTTTGACAAACCAGTCAAACCACATTGGCACTATCAAATTCAGACAGGGTTCTCTTGTAACATAAGGTGCGGGGGGAAGAGCTAGAAAGACTTTCTAAGCAGGACTCCTGGGAAAACTGTTAGACTGGTGGGCAAGCCAGGGGTCAGGCAGCTAAATGGGAAGCTGGGATACAGCTGTGACATGCGGTGCCCCCTTGGCCACCTGCCTGGCTGTGGGTGTGACTTAGGGCCAGTGCTTTCTCAGCAGGCATCTGCTGTTGCTGTTGTGTATATATCAATACCTGTACATTTCCAAACTTGAGTGAAGCAATGCGTCTGCAGGTTGCACTGGTCTGCTCCACTGCTTCTCTAGCAGTCGACACAATTTGCTCTTAAGAGCAAAGTGTCAAATGAGTGTTTTATTGTGACAGCTGTCAGTGTGCCCTGGCAACCTCACCCTAGTGATGTTCTGATTCTGAGGCAGCAGGCGTGTTTGCAGAATGAAACCTGGAACTAAAAGTGTCTACTGTTGATCGATGCCTTGTTTCAGGCACTGCTGGGCAGCCCCCTTCCTCACATACCAAAAGAAAGGATAAGAAACCTGGTTTCCCGTCTCCTTCGATGTAGTCACCAATGCTGTTAAAGTCTCGTTTCCAACGGTCACTTCTACTGAATGTTCTGTATCATTTGTCCTCTCACCAAATTATTTAAAGTGTTCAATTCTCTTATCCTTTCTGTATGTTTCTGCCGTTTGACCTTCTCACAATAATGCACAAAGCGACGTGTGAGCTCCTGCCTCTTGATAAGCGCATTTTGTAAAAATGGAATCATTTTGTCCTGTTTTGTCTTTCCAAATTCATCTCAACTTCTCTGTTAAAGCTTGCCATCCCTCTGCCCAGGCTCAGGGAAGCAATGGAGATTCAAAGACCCCTGCTCTGGGGCAAGGGCCTGCTCTCCAGGAGCCTTGGTGCCCTTCAAACCTGATGTCCAGTGTGATCCTGGTGCTCAGGTACGGCAGCCGGGCCTGTGCCCCTTAGCTGCACAGTGGTGGGAGGGGACACTTTGGTGAGCTGCCAGTGAAGAAAGGAGAACAAAGTGGACAGGGATCCCTACGGTTATGGCAACGAGGAGCAGGATCAGGGCCAGTCAGGAGCTGGCACCCCAAGTTAGGCACACAGTCCATGTGGAGACCTCTACCCTGTTCTTGGGCTGTTGAACAAGTTCAGCGAAAACATGCATTCTGCACCTCTGAACACAAAGGCCTCAGGAGACCAGGGACAGGGTAGCTCCATGGAGAGCCACAGTATGATGGCAGGCCTGTCACTGAGCCCAGACCCACAGGACCCTGCCTGCCTGCCCCAGCCCACTTAGTTTGTGTGCTCAGGACAGTTATTACAGTTACAACTGTTAAAATGTACAGTGCACAAAGCACTTTTTTAAAACTTTTAAACACATAAGGAAATGAAAATCCTTGTAGGAAAATTATAAAATACAGACAAGCACCTACACTAGTTCTTCACAACCCTCCCCACACAGAATCCCCCAGCTTCCTACTATGAATAGGTAGCCCTGCTAACATTGGGATACATACTCTCTGAGACAGAGACGTGAGTACATACACGTGGTCTAAGCAGTCCCTGAATTATACAGAACAAAAACACCCACGTGCACAAACAAATGCAATTATATTTGCAATTAATAGTCTTGTGAGCATTTTTTAGGTTAATAAATGTAGACTTTATCACTTTTTTTTTTTTTTTGAGACAGAGTCTTGCTCTCTCACCCAGGCTGGAGTGCAGTGGTACAATCTTGGCTCACTGCAATCTCCACCTCCCGAGTTCAAGCAATTCTCCTGCCTCAGCCTCCTGAGTAGTTGGGATTACAGGCACCCGCCACCATACCTGGCTAATTTTTTGTATTTTTAGTAGAGAGGGGTTTCACCATGTTGGACAGGCTGGTCTCAAACTCCTGACCTCAGGTGATCCACCCCCCATAGTGCTGGGATTACAGGAGTGAGCCACCATGCCCAGCCACTTTTTACACACTATAATTTATCCAATTTGTTATCACTGAATATTTAAGCTGTATATGGTTTTCCAGCATTTTAATTGCCTTAGGTTAAAAAGTGTACACCTTTGAAAGGCTTTTGAATAATTTTCGTACAGATCACCAAATGGTCCCCACAGTAGCCACTCCCCTGTCCAGTGTCCCAGAGTGCTCAGGAGCCGGGCGCAGTCTTTCCTGTTACTCTTGGGAGGCTTCTGAAGCTGTAAGGGCTGTTGTTTCTCCACATTACTGGTAAGGGCCCTGAGGCCTGGCAAAGGGAAGGCCCTTCTTCCTGTGGGAACAGGCGCCATTCCCTCCACACTGCCCTCTGCCTCTCTAAACCCCACCCTTGCCCCCAATTATGGATGTCTTTTTAAGTTGCTTATACCATTTATTTTCTGAAATCTATACAGTAAACGTATTACTTTAATAATTTTTTAAGAAGTTATAAAAACAAAGCTCAATCCTACTTTACCTGTGCCTGTCCCAGAATTCTCGCACCAGCCCCGGGGACACAGCTCACTGCCGCCTTGAGCCGACCTTTAAGATCTGAGGCTCTTGGCACAGGCATTTGTTTTAAGGTGACTTCTGTTTTCTCAATGATCCCATGAGGGAAAGACATGTACCTGTTTAGGCAGCTGCAAGCCAAGGTGGCAGTGGCTGAGTCACAAGCTAGCAGCTCTGGCTGCTGGGGTGCAGAGTACCTGCAGTTTAGACGAGAACTCCACGAGGCAGCATAAACCTCCACCATGTCTGTGAGTGGAGGAGGACATTTGGTTCCTGGCTTTCTGGTTTGCATCTTATCAGACGGAAGAGTAGAGCATGCAGGTGAGGGTATGGGGGTGGGGGCCAAGCTGGCACAAGGCTTTAGCCTGGAGGCCTAGGGTGAACAGTGGTCAGTGCTATGCTGTAAATGTTCAACTACCAGCTCTCTCTCCAAAAACCCTGATCTGTAATGTTTGCCAATTTCTGTGGCATAAATGCTTCTACCAGGGCCTGTTTCAAGCTTCCAGTGTGGTAACACTGAACATGGAGTTGGGAAGAGATTCACATACTTGACCACTGGGTTGTCCATGTCCCCAGTCCTGGGGCTGAACCCCTTGAAGTGGGCCTTGCTGAAGAGCCACAGGGCCCCACCAGCCTCTTTTGGTAGGGAATGTGGCAGTGGGTCAGTGCTCCGCAGCTTGGGAATTGTGCCCTCCCAGAACGGCACATTCCAGCAGGGCCATCGGGGCTTCAGGGCTCCTCTGGGAGAGCTGGGGAGGGCCCTGTGTGAAGAGGAACCCTGGGCCTGCTGCCTCCCCATCTCCTGAGTGGACCCTTCGCAAGCTGCCTGCTGTGTCCTCAGGCCTCCATTCTGTGTCACTGTGGACATGAATGTGCTTCCAGAGTCGTGTGGCTCTAGGTACCATCTCACCTCAGTGCAGTTTTTCTGTAGCACCAAAAGGGGGAAGAAGACCCAAATTTTCAGTGTGGCGTTGGTTGGATTCCACCCTTGGGGATGCTTATAGAACCATAACTTGCAAAGTTGGAGACAGCAGTCGTTTATGCCTGCCACTGCTGAGCCCGGAATCCGAGGTGGGGCTGGTGAGGGCTCTGCACTTGGTTGGTTGGTACCTGAGGTAGATGGTTTTCATTTGTGTGGTTGATCAAGAGGCAGCTTTGGCCAAATCCTTTGTGCCACCCCCTGCTCAGGCATCTGTGAGAAGGTCAAACCCCCAATGGTTCTTCATGTTCAGCTTGCTTCTCAGAAATCCCTGTGTGTGCAGCATGTGGGAGCATGGCCGGGCAGCATGGAGTTGTGCTTGGCCAGCCGAGAGAGTGAACATGGAAAACCATTCGTTCAACCTACATGTGTTTATTTTCAGTAGATTGCAGTATTTTTTCTTATTTTCACTTCTCTTTCTCTCCTTTTTTCCTGTAACTGTGCTGGTTTTGTTTTGGTCTTCCTCTCATACCCGTTTCTGCATTTCATCTTTTCTTTCTATTGTGGCTTCATTTCATTTTTTTTTTAACCTTATCTTTTGGTTCTCTCCTTTATCTCATACTTTTTGATAAAATCCATCGCATGTGTCTCTCTTTTTTTCTTTATTTTCTTTCCTTTCCTTTTTTCTTTTTCTTTCTCCCAAACTTTTTCCTTTTCACAGCATTGGAACACGGGAGGTAGTCACCCAGAAGAACTTGAGCGGCCTGGTGCCCATCCGAGACTTAAGGCTAGACCCCAGCCTCCTCTGTTCCATTCCTTTATTAGCTCTGAGCCCCAATTTACTGATTGTGTGGCTCTTTCTGAGCATAGCATACCTGGTGACCAAATTGCGTTGCAAATGAATATTATTATGAAAAATTAATAAGTCACAAGAAAAACAAAAGTGCCAGAACATGTCCAGCCACCGTGTACCTAACTGGACAGAAGGAATGTGTCAAAGTGTGGTCTGCCAAGAGATATTTCATGCCTTACATTTTGATGTTTTGTTCTTCTGAACTGTAAATACCTGCCAAATTATTTCACCAAGAGGACTTGTTTATTTAGCTCCTGTAGCATCTTCAGTGCTTGTAACATGTTCTTACGGTGCCCTGTCACTGCATCGTTTAGCTGGCCTGGAATTCCTTGTACCACGTCTCTACCTTCCGACGTACAACTATCTATCACCTGTACTTCTCACGTGCCCTGTTTCCAAAAAAAAGGAGTTCTGTTTGAAGAGAATTTGTATATTTGATACTATTCTTTAAGTATACTGCTAACCCTTCCTTTCCTTTTGATGACAAATGAAAAGAAAAAGATAGATGCTTTATAACTGGCTCATCTTGATAAACCTATCGAATAGGACATGTATTTTCTGCTTTCATTTCAAAGCGTAGTCCCTGAATTACAGTAGCAAACAGTTTGCAAAATCCTAAGACTTCCTTGCTTATGTTTATTATTTCCAATTAAGGATGACACAAAGCTGTGAATACAGTAGTATACTGTACCAAGTCAGACATAGACCAGTAGGTTATCTAACTCTGTAAGGATCACTCAACTGGTTCTAGGAATTAATGCGTATAGTAACCAAAGGCTGTTAAAGTTATATCTTTTTATTTATTTTAAAACAGCATTTTTCATTTAAAAAATGGTATCTTTAATTGCAGATTAAAGGTCCAACATCTTTTCTCTCTTACTAATCAAATATGATATGATTGATAATGAAAAAAAAAATCAAAGAGAAATTGCAAAAAAACAATGATCCTTGACTTTTGGGCAGTTGTGACGGATAGAGTTGTGAGAGCAACAGGGTGCTCTGGTTTCTGCAGGTGCCCTTCAGTCCTAATGCGGCATGCCCTGCAATGCGATGAAGTGTAACCTTAACACCCATGTGGGGCAGAGTGTTATTGGACACCTGCAAAAGTAACCAAATAAATAAGGAAAAAATCCCCACACCCTGTGCAAGACAGTCAGTGGCTTCTCTGTCTTCCACTTCATATTATATTGTGCCCCCACTTTCTGTCTTCAGTTGTTTCCCCATACAGTGTAGTTTATGAAGAGGATTTTTTTAAAACCAGTCCAGAAAAATGGGAATGAATTTAGAGAAGCTTACTTTTCCAGAAACTTGGCACCCATGCATGCCCAGAAACCCAATCCACCACAAAAGGCGGTGACCTCTCTTCATTCTCTCTCCAGGACTCCAGACCTTGCTCTGGGCTTTCTCTCATTTGGTTTCAGCTCAGAGTCTGGGTTCTAAAAATCATAGAAGCAGTTAGGAATGAATGGCAAATGCTAGACTCAACACTTTACATTCTAAAGTGGAAGACCATCCTGACTACTGCAGGCTCCCTGGGGCAGGTGTCACCTGTGTGTCACCCTGTAGGTGAATCCATGCCTCTCCAAGTGCAGCATGTTCACTTGTCTCTTCTAAAATAAATGAGGTGGCTGTTACAGCATAGCTCTTGGCATCCTTCAGTAGGGAGTCTCTCACCAAATGCCAGCTCATGGGTGGTGTAAGCTGTGGCAGCATGCCAGTAGTCCTTGGGCAGTGTCCTGTCCAGCCTGTGATTATTTGAAAGGTATGTTTGCCACTTTCCCTCTTTCACATTGAGGCATCCACTTCAACTAATACCGTCTTGTTTGCTTTATTTGAAAGTGAGAAAGCAGAGTCCACAGCCTCATTCAGTTCCCATTACACAGCTTCCAGGTCCTGCTACTGGTAGTATGGTTCCACTGCCTGCAGTGGTGACTGATGCTCACTCCCACTTCCACGGCAGGGCTAGTGGCTGGGCAGAGGCCGTGCACAGAGGGAGGCCCTCTGACTGCAGACAGCATTCCTCTCTGTCCCAAGGCTCAAGGATGCTTCTGTGGCACCCTCCAGGGGCCCCTCCCAGGACCCTGCCCTATAGCACAGAGAAGCTCTGGCCAGCCGAGGAGCCACTCCTAGGGGGCCTCAAGGACACCACAGCCTGATCCTTGATTGTCACCACACCTTTCTGCCCATGTGGACTTAGCCCTTGGGCTGAGAGAGAAATGAGACCACAGGGAGAAAGATAAAGTTCTTTGTTTCTCTCTTCCAGGGGCTGGGTGAAAATCAGTATGCTGCCTGTGCAGTTGGAGAGCTACCAAAAGGACACCATGAGATTAGCTTAGGCGGTGGGTTGGTTTTGGCTTTTTAAAACTTAAAGTATTTGAAAAAAGAAACTCAGTTGCTCTCCCTTTATGCTGAATTTTAATGTCACTAAGGCCTTTTACTCATGAAATCAGGCCAAATACATTTTCAAAATCTTACCTGCTTTAGTGAGAGATAGGCAGGATGAAACAAACATGGGGAGATGATTCAAGAAAGGGATCATTGACATTTAGTGATGGTTATAGCTGCATGTACAGAAGTGGTGCTGAGGCATTGTTGATACCAGCTCTAGGTGTTCAGGATTAAACCAGCTTTCTCAAGTTAGGGAAGCCATAATCAGGAGTGATCTCTTTGAATGATCTTATAAAATTGTTGTGTAAGTTTTTTCAACTAGTGTGACAGTCACCATTTATGCCTAAGGCTTGGTTCCAGCAGAGATTTTAACACAATGGCCTATTCTCTCTCCACAAAGTGACAGGAGTAGCAGCCACTACCCCATACTTGGCCATAGAATCACTAAGATATTGATGCCTGCAGATGAGTACTAAAATGGAAAATCCCACTGGAACTGGCAAACTAGAGGATTCCCTAAAATTATCTGTCATTTGGGGTTTCCATTTTAATTTTCATTTCAAAAATGGATGCCCTTGAAAAGAAATAATTTATTGATATAAAAGTAATCATGGAGTTTTGAAACAACTAAGTCCCTCTTGCTTAAATCTAAGACCTTCTCTACAGGTGCCATTGACTCCTAAAAAGTACGCAGCCAGTATGATCAGTGGAGGTGTTCTGCCTTAGGGCAGCAGGCTGGCCTCTGCGGCGGAAAGCCCCAGTTAACACAGGCCGTCCTCACCACCTCTGCATACCTCGTCCCAGGCCCTCTTGCCAGCTTGTCGGCACGGGCAGTGGGATGACAGTGTCGGCATGTGGATCAGCCGCTTCAGCCGGATTATGTAAATTCAGACATTTTGGGGAAAGAAAATAAAATCTGATTTGAAAACTATGTTGAAATGAAAGTACAATCTTTATTATAACTTCATGTATAATGTGTTCAGCCAACTAAACTAGGCATTAGCTCCTTTAAGATGTAAATAAAAGATAATGTCAAAGTTCACAAATTATTCTGCCTCGCTCCTCACGGCAGTTTAGCATTTACTAGTGATAGGTGGTTTTTAAGCAGTTTGTACGTTTCTATATAAATGGAGAAGCCATATCTGAAGTAGTTCATTGATGTAAGAGTTTCCAAAGATTAAAGGAGATTAACTGTGCATAGGAACCTATAGCTTCTGCTTTAAGTGGAAGTATGTTTTTGATTACTGAATGTTAGGCAAACATGATTGTTACTCCGGGGGGCCTGCTCCTGTGGCCTGGGTGTTCAGCTCAGATGACACCTCAGCTCAGCTGAGGCGTTGAGGCTCTGTGACAAGAAAGCATATCCAAGTTACCAAATTAGTTATAACAACCAGGTGGATACTTTTCTAAACTATCAGAGCTTAGCTTTTGAATAAAAATTACTATCTTACCAAAAGTATTTTACATGTTCTTGATGAGACTGTCATTTTCACTTTAAAGGCTTGAGCAATTGCCACTGATATTTTTTTAAAGTGCATGACATAATGATCTTCAAACAGTTTGAATTTTTTTAAAAAAATCACTGTTTCTTGCTAACTGCAAATTTTGCATCTCATAAAGGGAATTTTGTACTAAATTTGATAACTAGTTGATTTCATTGCTAGTCTTAGAACAGTATACAACTATCAAGTTATACTGTGCTGTGGGAAGTCATTTATGTATAAAGTCACTTTTGCTGATTAGTTTTATGTCTACACCTGAACATTTCCCAGAGAACTCCCCGGATGCACTCACTAAGCAGGTGAGGACACCTGGCTACTCATCCTCCCATGCAGTGTTTGTTTTTTGCCTTCCTCCCGGATTGCCATGGCAACCCTCCATCAAATGCAGCTTGGGATGATGCTGGTAGTGAGTTCTCTAGGGAAGGGTACCTGTGGGCTCTCATTGGCTCAGTGGCACTTGTGCAAGAGGGAACACATGAGGGCAGCCCACCTGTGGAAGGGCTGCGGGCTGCTGGCTGCTGCCAGATCTCGGTGAGGTCCCTCCTTCATGACATTCCAGCCCTGATTGCCAGGCTGGTCTGCAGACAGTGCATGAGCCCATTGGATTTCCTGGCACCCAGAACAAGTGTCCTCCAGGAGACAGCAGATTGGAACAGCCTTCCCAGCCACATGCCTTTGCTACATGTTGAATTCTGCAAGGAAAGTCAACATTTGGAATTTCAATGTGATTACAGCTCTTGCTAATATAGAAAAGTACAGCTCATTAAAGCTTACTAAAGTGTAGCTTTAGTAAGAGTAGTGATATTTCTCTTTCCACTTAATTTGCTATGTAAGGTAACCTTTGAACCACAAGTTAAGATAGAACCCCAAATGACTTAGACATGGGCTACATGAAGTCATTCATTCACTTTTAAAAAGTTTGCTTCTACTTAGATACAGTGCTACTTTTAGGAATGCACAGCTCACAGCCCCATGCAGCATGTGTCCATCTCTGTGCTTCTTAATTGCCTTGTTCAGAAACCTGCCATTTTACGTATGTATTTGTTGTAAATGAGTCCAGCACCCATTTAAATTAATCTTTTTTTTAATGTTATGAAAATAATCAGTTCATTTCATCTTAGTTTAAGTCTTTTCTTTTTTCCTTTTTTACTGCTGTCATTTCTTGTGCTTGTTTTTTCCCCAGTGAGGGTTGTCGAAGAGAAAATACAATGAAGAATGTTGGAAGTCGCAAATATGCATTTAATTCCCTGCAGCTGAAGGCTTTCCCCAAGCATTACAGGCCTCCCGAAGGGACTTACGGAAAAGTTGAAACATGAACACACGGTTTTCTCTAATTAGCTGTTACATAATAAATGTGGGTACCCTCTAGTGTCATATATGACTTCTTCAAGAAGACCTGAAGGATTGGTTTTTATTTTTTGTTTTTTGTTTTTTTTAAATTTCACTAAAGAATCTATGGAGCATGTTTTTTGGTTTTGGGTTTTTTTTTTTGTTTTTTTTTTTTTTAACCATTGGAATCAATAGGAGGTAATGTTTGGCTCAATAATGTGGATAGTAACGACTGCCCATTTAAATAGCCTTTGGCTGTAACTACACAGATCTATATAATCAAAATGCCAACTTGCTCACTTATTTTTCTGCAGGGTAACTCAAAAGTGACCATTGAATTACAATCCACTTTGTACAAGTATGAATGTAAAACAGTAAATAATAAGTAATTGGATCCTATGCAGACCAATAAATGTTAAATGTTATTTGGGGAAAGAAGCTAGCACTATCTCATACAGTGAGAATAAAGGGTTCTAGTGAATTATCCTATTTACAGCACCACCCGAAGAAGTTGAGAGAAAGATTGATAAATTAACTGGAGATATGACTTTATTAGAAAGTAACACCTCCAAGGTAGCCCACACACTTGGGGCCACTGTTTTTTTTTGTCCCTCATGAGTTAGAGAACTGGGAGTCTGCTTGGAGACACAAAGCCCGCAGTAAGGTCCCCTTAGCCTGTCTCCTGTTCTCTGAAGCTTCCTGTCTAGGCTCTCCCACGCCCACAGGGCACATCTCCCTTTGTTCTCTAGTTGTTAATCTAGGGCTTCAGATGTGGCATGTCACACTCTCATGGGGAATTTATGACCATAGAGATAGTAGAAACCAAATATTTAGAGAAAAGAATTTTATTGCAGGATTTCCAATATATCTTCTTCTAAGACAGTACAATCCTGTTTGAATGTCTGATAAAAGTGTCTTATTTTTAGGTTTGCAATAGTTGTTACTTTCTTATTCTCATTCTGTTATGTAAGATGACTATTGAGAAACAGTTGAAATTATCTCCTTAAATGAGATTTTGAAAGAGATTTATGGGCCATAAAACTTAGGAATTTCATAGAAAATTTTGTCTGGTCATCTTTTATAAGATGATGATGAGTCTTATCTGCACATAGCAGAGTTTTTTTCTTAGGAGTTTATATGTTTTATTGATTCTGTTTATGCTGTTTACATGTTCTTGAAAAGGTTGTAAAAGAAATCTATATGGCACATATTAATGATGCCGATCCTAATGATTTGAGAACCTCTTAGAAATTCTTATGTCTAAAAGCCTACAGATTCTTCTGGTTACTTTAGAAACATGTAACAAACTTGGGCCAGGGGTGCTAAGCATGGGGAGGACTACTTATTGGCAGGAACGCAGAAGGGGTGGGCATCAGGTAGGGGTAGAACTAGGTGACCTTCCATATACCCTCCTACTCAGAAGTCAGCATGCAAGCAGAGCTTGCTGTCTCTCGATGCCTACAGGGAGGAAAATGTCTGTGGAGGACACTTTAACAAGGATGCAGCTCTCAGCTGCTCCCTCAAAGCTGGGTTCACTATGGCAGGCAGGAGGCAGAGAAACTCCTGCTCACCAAACCCACTGCACAGGTGGCTACTGCTGGTATCACGAATTCTCCTTTTTAAGTGTCGGTCTCTGTTCACAGACAGTTCGTTTTCAATATGGCTGATCTGGCCTTTCACCTCTCCACCACCTCATTTAATTTGTAAATTTTTAGTTCCGTATTTTCTCATTTTAACTTTTAAAAAATCTCCTTGCTTTTAAAAAAAATCAATATTACCCACATAGTTTTCAGATTTTTTTTTTTTTGTATGAAGAGCATTATATATCTGCACTTATTAAAGGGAATATAGCAAATGTTGATCATCTGTCAGGAGTTTTGCATGTGGCACCTTTATATGAATTATTTTCCCAATTTTTGCTTTATGTAATGGGTCACCATAAAACTGTAAGACTTGGCAAATCATATAGAAAAGGTTCAGGTTTCAATATTCTCTCCGAAGGCATGGTTACTGGGCTTCAGGTGGCATCACACACTTCTAGCGCTTGCAGGATGAGAGTGTGCTGCACAGCTTTGGAGGCAAGTAGCTCCTCTCTTCTGTGGGAGGTTTGAGTTTTCAGATGTGCAGGGAAGGCAGTTTTACAAATTACCATGAAATAGAGGTTCCGTCCAATGTTCCTTATAAAGCCTCCCCATTTAAAAAGAAATGAGATCTATGGAACACTGGGAATGAAATGTGGATTCTGTCAGAGCTCCTACAGAGCACAGTTGCCTTTAGTTTCATTTAAAGATGTAAAAATATTGTATAATACAATTTTGTCCCTACACAATTGTATTTGCCAAGCTTAGTGCATTATGATACCTTTATTTATTTGTTTTGGGCAGTATTAATATATATATAAACATACAGTTACTGTTTTATATATTCTTAGGTCATTCAAAGCCATGTATGCTGTAAATGTGCTAGTCTTTAGAATGACAAATAATAAATAACTGACAAGATATTAAATTTGGTCTTGACTGATTCATCCTATTAGGAGGACTAGTTCTATGTGACCAGCCTATGACTGGACCATTGTTATTGGGCATTGCATTGAGTGCTCAGGTGCTGAATGCATATGTTTGTAAACGTGGGACCATGGGAGACTTCGATTTTATATGCTTGTTTCTGCCTAATTTGAAGCAGAGGGGCAGCAGAGTTGAAGTTAAGAGCATGGACTTTGGGAGCACACAGACACAGGTCTCAATCTTGGTTCTGCCCCTCACTGCTGGTGACTCTGAGCAAGTTGCTTAACCTCTCCAAGCCTCCATTTCCTCGTGTGCAAAGCATGGATAACAGCGGTACCTTCCTTATAAGATACGTGCGATGTGCCTCGGAAGTAAGTGTTTGTAAATGGTAGCCATTGTTGTTACCTTCCCATCTGTGAACATGGATCACATCATCTCTGTGGGTTGCCCAGTCCTCGTCGTATGACTTGCCAAAATGCAGTTCCACTTGTATTAATATTGGCACTGTTCATCATCACCACGACTGTCCCTTGCATCACTATTTTGCCTTCTAGGCATCCATGACCCATGATCTCCCTTGGAAAAATTCCCCTCACTGGAAATGTACAATTAAAGGATGATTGAACTGTTTAACTCTTGGAGTTTTTAGTATTGTCAAACTCCCAGAAATTTAAGCTACCACCTGTAACATGCCTTTTCCCTTTATTCTCATTGATGGGGCCAATGCACCTCAGTTCAATGTCCATTTCCTTGATTACTGTGAAGACTGAACATCTTTTATACTTTTATGATATTTCTATTTTTGCGACTTCATTGGAGTGTTGGTCTTTTTCATATAGATTGTTATTAATATACCCATGTCATATGTTGCACACTTTTGAACTTATCTGTCAGCTGTCCTTTGTTCTGTGGTAGGGGGTATACAATATTTCAAATGTTTATGTAGCCACGTACACCTGTCTTTCATTTTGATGCTTGTTCTGAAATTGAATCCTGGCTTCACAACAGAAGGTGGCACATTTGGGGCAGCCAAGCCCTTGTGGGCGTGGTGGTATGGCTGCGTGCGCACGATGAGGGGCTGAACTAAAGTGCACACTGGCACCTTGCTTGGTGCATGGGCTGTGCTCAGTTTATTATTATTAATAGTTTCTGCCTTCACACTCATGTCCCAGGATTATGTTTTCAGCATTTACCTATTCTTATTTCTAGGTTTTTTATGGTTTCAGTCCTACATTTAGATCAGTCCATCTGGAATCATCTTGGTGTAAGGCCTGTGTCATGCTGAGTTTGCTAAGGTCAGAGGGAATCCCTCAAGGCCAGGCATAATTTTGCTTCTCTTTAAAGTTAAGCCAAGGAGAAGACGTGTCAGGATGCCCAGACATCAGCCACCATGAGCTTCTTCCCCCCCTCTCTCCGCACATTTGGGCACTGTGCTTTGGTTTCCTGTTGAGCCTCTGCTTAGTAGATGACTTGGCACCATCTGGCTGCCTAGATCTAGGGGAGTTGTCTCAGGGAGGCTTTGCACTGGAGGAAGGTAAGAGGGGTTGGGGGTTGGAGCTTCTCGATTTGTGATATTTTAGAGAACAGAAATGATTAGCTGGTGGGGGGACATTACTTCATTGTAGTTGTTCTACTGGGTAACCTTCCTCTATTCTTTACTAACATCACACAGCAGGTTGGCAACATTTTTAAATAGAGGCTTCTCACAGTATCCTCAGCAGCATCGAGTGTTACTCATGTTGTGGTAATGAGCAATGGATCTCTCTGAGCAGGCAGTGTGACCTCTTTGGTTACTCTAAAGGGCTGCCAGCATTTCTCTTTTCTCAGGCCTGAGGGAGGAGAGCTATTCTGTGTGTAGGGGTGTTGGGAACACATGAACAGAAGGAACTGGCCTCATGTCCCATCGTGCTCCTGGGATGGCTCTTCCAAGACCAGCACTTCCTTCTGGCAGGTGGGCCCTCGCAGAACTCTGCATTTGGAGATAGACAAACTCTTTTTCTTGTCCCTTTTTCCCCAAAATGTCCTCCTATACAAGCCCCTCTTAAGAGCTGGTTTTCCATAAACCGTAGAGAGGGCACTGCTCCGCTGTGCACAGAACCCCAGCCCAGAAGTACAAGTTCCCTGTGGAACCCGCAGGGATGGCAGTGATGGTAGAACCAAGGGGGTCAAGGCAGGCTGGAGAGAAGTGAGTGGCAGGAAACCGCTCAGTCTGCCTGACCTGGCCCCAGGCTAACCATGAGGGCCTACATAGAGGGGCAGAGCTGGCTTATTGGGATCCCTGATGGTTTTACACTTTTTAAAGTACTCTTTTTCTCAGAGACTCTGATGAAGTAATTGAATG